ATGAGAATGAAAACAGGCCAGTTAGCTCATCATGATGAATTCATCAGGAATTAACCATGATAGTTTCCAGGGAGAACCGCGAGGAGGTCGACCTAGTTGGGTATATTGCTAGCAATAGGATTCTCAGTCTCCATTACTAACAATCCCTTTCCCCCCTCAAGATGTGTATTTGAGCAGTAAACTTACTTATACATATTGAAGGATAGTCTTAAGGAATGGTAGCTCATGATACACACCGTGGGCATCATGCCTAGTATTTGTAAACATTATGAATATTTTCATATGCCTATAAATAATATATGAATACCTAGGTTAGTTAGGTAACAACGGAAAACTACCTGGAATAACATGAAACTATGTCGAAACCAAAGTGCAACACTGCACGTGCAATTTCAGCAGTTATACACGAGTGAGAATATGATAAATATATTGTTTATTGCACTTATAAAAAAAGATACAGCGATTAGATTAACAATTTGTTAGCATATGTTTTTATATTTAAATGTAATTATTTTATTTAGTTTATTTGAAATAATCTTCTGTACTTTTTACCACATTAAAGTTTTTATTTAATGATTAATGATCTGTCCAAAAAGACATACAATACATATTAGAAACAAACAGGGTACAAAGAATATCTATTTGCATAGACTTACTCACGTGAATCCATTTTGAAACCCTTTCTCAGTGGATGTTTGCGTTATAAAAAGAGCTTATAGCTCTTTTTATAAATAAAAAATTAAAATTTTAACTCCAACGGTTTGGGGTGTGTATACGTTGATAAATGATATTGTGCAAGTCAATGTAATTTTTTTAGATAAGTATGATTTAAAGAAAGAAAAAAGAAAGAAAGAAACTTCATATTATTTACTCCTACTAACATTCTTTTGGCAACGACCACTGCGGTCTTTTGTTCTTAATATGTATATTTACCTACATTAAAAACTCCATTGTTTGGAAAAGATAACCACCTTTGTGGCGAAAAATAATAGTATAAGTACTTTTAAATCTCAAAGAGGGGAAAATATCTTTGTTCGTAAATAATCTTATTTTTCTTCTTATCTATAAGGTATATTTTGTTATTTAGTCAGTTAACAGTTAGAAGTTTTGACGAGGCTTCTGTTGAGTTGAGACTTGTTCATATCTTTGTAATGTCTGGCCATTTTCCAAGTTCTATAAACTCATGTTTTGAACAGAAAGATACCTACGGAAGCGATCTATATTTTTGTAACGACATTATCGATCACAAAAATGTGATATTACTCATATTATATTCGATTAGATTATACTTTTAATGTAGACAAATTTGGATTGTTTTTTTTTATTTCATGTGCGGAAATCTATTATGTCCTCCTTATTGGAACATTACCTACGTGTTTATTTAGTTATAATTATTGTATTAATGAGTTACAATCATGATCTGATATAAATTTAAAATCTCAAATTCCTATATAAAAGTACAACTGAAAGGATTCTAATATTATCACATTTCACTGGAAGGAAGGCCATTCATAAAATTGTTAAAAATACACTTTTTATTATCCGGCTACCAAAATCAAAGGAAGTAGCGGGTGAATTAATGTTTTTTGGATGTACATCTATGCTGGAATGTAGTGTAAGCATAATTATATCTCAAACAGCATGAATTAGATATATTATATTCAGCAGTGGATAGTTAACGACTGATCATCATCATCTTCCTATCCTTATCCCAATTATTATTTAGGATCGGAGTAATATGTTTTTCTTTTTCATTTTTCTCTATTTGCGGTCATTTCTGCATTCACCCCCCATTCTGGCCATATCATCTTTCACACAGTCTATCCATGTCTTTTTAGGTCCTCCTCTACCTTTATAGCCATCCATATTCATTCTTAAAACATGCTCATCATTCCTGCGTATCACGTGACTATACTAGAACAGACTATTAATTCTTAACTAACGTTAAGTTACCGACTGATATAATAATATAATAATGGGCCTGGTAACTAATTTAAATGCATATGAAAAGGAATTGTATTGACCCTTTTAGGGAAGGTTAAAAAGTCCACATTTCACGAATTATAATAGGAATTATTTTGTATAATCTTACGATATAAATATACTAGTCCGTGAATATAATGCCCTAAGTGCGAGAGACTTATTAAATTTGGAGGGTTGACAATATTTAGGTATGTAGGTGATGCTTACTTGTATTACTTGCATTGTATTAAGTTCCGATTGTGAATTTAAAATATAAAATGCTGTGTTTCCTAGCCTTAGCTTATGCGAATCTATTATTTTGCATTCCCATGGAAAAAAAATATAGCGATTATCGTATAAGACAATGTAACTAAGTAATAAGTAGATATTTATACTGTCTATATGATGACAACATCATCGTGCCTAAAATGGACGAAAGACTAAAAGATCGTCATCATACACACTTATATATTGTCTTACAACTCATTGACGTGCCTAGAAGTGGGATATTAATGTGTTGTTATGGTATAAAAGGTAAGATTCTCTCTAAGAGATATATGTATGTCATTACCACATTAGCAAAGCAGTTTGGTATATAGTTCCTTTTTTTTTTTTGTTATTGTGTCGTTTTATCCTATTCTATTTTTACCACACCTTATGGATGGAATGGAGTTGTAACATATTTTAGTTTTTACTCTGTCATCGCATTAAAAAGGAATTTATGGAAATTATAAAAAAATATATTTATAGCATTTGGTCGTGCAGTAAAAATTAAAAAAAAAACAACCTAAAAAAGATATATCCCATAGACATAGACATTTGACGTTCATAAGCGGCTAAAATGTCCTACATGAATAAATGATTTTTGAATTTTGAATTTTGAAGTGTCTATATTATTTCCACTTTTTTATCGTAATTTTACTTAATTTATAATATGTATTATTATAAAAATAAAAAATCTAATTTATTTAAAAGAAGGCAAGTTAAATGACGAAATTTAATACCTATTGTTTTCTAATACGTATCGAAATACAGTCAACTTGCTTTAACAATTTACATAGACACTATAATATATGTAGCATGCTTTAGTCACTATACTACTGAGTATACTCGTAATAGGTGATAACAAAGTCCGGCGACGCAAACATGCAATTTTCATAAGAAATACAGTATTACATTTCAATACCATTTTACTCAAAGCCGTCACAGCCGCTGTATATAAGTATTTTAGATTTGTATTTTACGCTTTATTGATGACCTTTTACGTAAGTCCATAGCTTTAGTCTATATCGATCTCCAATAGTCACGACATTGAAAACTTTCATAGTGTTTGTGTGGAACTTATTTATTTATTATTGTACTAGCTGTTTCCCTTAGCTTTTCTTGCGTGAATCCTTACTAATATTATAAATGTAAAAGTTAATTTGTTTGTTACCTTATAACGCCTTGACGGCTTAACCAAACACTATGAAATTTGTTATTATGGGATAAAGAAGGATATAGGCTACTTTTTATCTTGGTCAATAAACATATCCCGGTCACGTGGACGAAGTCGCGAGTAAAAGCTAGTCAGTAATCCAAGTATTCTATGTATTAAATAATCTTATAATTGCATTTACATTCTATCCAAGCGTCCAAGATATTATTTTACTACATAATTACTAATTTTACCGTGACTTTTTCGTTTTGAGACAATCTCTATAGCGTTGCAAATGATTTTGTCCAATGGTAGCAATTGTCCATTACCATTGTTGTTTGTTTTCTACCAATAATAAAAAAAACACATCTATAATAATATCGTAAAACTAGGTACATTAGGTACCTATATTATACCGGTATAATTCACTGTTTTCATTTTGTTTATTTAAATAATTTATACGTATTTACAACAATAACAAATAAATTACTAATTTTACTACCAACCGTCATCAAAGTATCTACCTACTCGTACCGTGTCTCTAGGTAATCAATCACTTCCTGTTAAGCTTGGTAAAATACTCCATCACGCTTAAATGGGCTTATACATTGTCAATAAAACACTGTTTCTAACCTTGTCCTATATAATGTTTAAATGTGCTGTTGTATAATAAAAAAAAAATAACAAATATATCCACAGTTCTTACACATATTTTTTCGTAGAAATATAAGTTTTTATTTCGTTTTTATTTAAAATGATTTTTTGTAGTTGATATATAGCCACTTTTGTAACTAATTTTCACAATCTTTTTTGCAATAAAAAGTTATTTTTCTGTAAGAATATTAGTTTTTAAATTGTCGTTTTTTTTTAAATGATTTAGAACGTTTTGTGTTAAAATTATATTATTTTCAATACTAATTTTCACAATTTCTTTTGCAATAGAAAGAGTTTATTTCCCTGTTGGTTCCATATTATTGTGACAATTAAATCTATCGTTTTTTTTTGTGGCAAAATCAACTTGTAGACACGTTTCTGCGTTCTAAATTATATTATTTTCAATGTAATGTATCTTCGAAATATCTCTCCTTGTTCATAATTTTATTTTATTTATTGAATATTTATAAATAATAATGACTTAGAATAACATAAGCAAAAATTTACAGATATTATTATATTAAAGGATAGCTGAATTTTCGTCAGTCATGGACTTTAAAAAAGGATATTAATTCCTCTTAAAGTTTCTGCAGAAGCAGCACCGCTGAATTTAATTTAGCACCTGAATATCTTACCTGATTTATTAAGACAGATCAAAATTAACATTTAAATTACAATAATACAATGAGGTAACAACAACATACATAAAACAACAAAAAACACTGGAAGATGATTTCTGTTATCGTATATAAAAAATATTTTATTTATGATACATAGAATGGCAAATTTCCTATCATTAAAAACATGCGCTGGTTGATTAGCTGGCCGGCCGCCTTAGGAAAAATCCCAACCACGTCTTCCCACGCCAATGCGTAAATACATTTCATGATTTTTTTGCGGAATTGCGTTAGGCAAAGCTCTTTCATTACCGCCATCGTTTAATTGACTCTATGTTTTTAATTTCTAGATATTATGAAGACAACGGAGTTGGAAGCGAGGTGACCCAGAAATAAATATGCCGCTACTTCGTAACGAAGAAGTCCCCACGGTAAAAGTCACTGACTCCGTCGTGACACGGTACGCGGTCGCCGTTGTTGGATCGTGGGCCGCGGAGACAGGTAATCATAATTTTCTATTATTACAGTTGTAATACTGATAAAATATTAGTTATTTGATGTTATAATAAGTAATATTTTAATTAATAATTGCAGTTTTATAGACTTACTACTCTATGGCAATAGTTCACACTGTGGCTTATACTGTGTTATGGCTATGTAAAGGAGTTAGTCCATAGTATTACAGTTTTTTCACTATTCATTAAAAAATATCTATAAAAATATGGTACATTAAAATCATAAGTATAAAAGGATTAAAGGCCCTCTGATCCGTTTTCATTTAAGTAACACGTTCTTTAGACTGTGGTATGTAATACCACAGAGGGTAGTGAAAGGGCTGATAATGTTTCTTTTACCGTTTCAACTAAATAAAGCAGTGATTACTTGCTCTGTGGTTCTAATTTTATTGAAAATTATTTCTGAAAATTTTGCCTTAATTTTAATTAACTTTAAAAATGTTACTTAATGAAATACGAATGGGCACCAGCCTCCTTTTTAAAATATCACCAAAGCCTACTGCGGTTGCCAACCCGCATGTCAAACGTGGCGATTACTATCAAATCCCCTTATGAGGAGGCCTATACTCAGCAGTGGATAGTTAACGGCTGATATGACCGACTTCAAAGCGAGATCGAATTTTTTATGTATTTTTTCATTAGTTATACGTCGAATTGGCCTGTAACGAAATGATATATGTATACTTTATTGGTTAATTATTTCTTGGATCCGTAAGAATGTATTTGGTGTGAAAATAAAATAAAATAATTTTTGCTCCTACATTAGTTTCGCCTTCAGGGTTCATTTGTGTAAATAGTTCTATTAATTATTATCAATTGGTCGCATCGTGCCGTCAGACGTCACATGCATTGTTGTAACTCATATCAATTTATAACACCTATTTCAATTAAATTGAACTTAATGAAAATAATGCTAACTGCATTAAAAGTTCCGTTTGTTGGTGCAGTAATAATACAATATTTACAATGTGTCACCGAACGAACATTTCTGAATTGGATCGTGTCTATATTGTGGCCTCAGATTTTCGCTGCCTTGTGCACAGGGTATCCTTTGATATCAAGTAACTTGAGGACCAGGTGATTGGTGTAATTGTGTAGCACTTCGTAACATTTTCTCTTTTCATAACATAAAAAGCGATTAAGTGAATAAACCCCATACAGAACTGACAACTACCGTACTAATAGTAAGCAAATCACATCTTGTAATGAGTAGTAACAAACATGTCGATCATAGACATAATTAAGACATTAATATTTTATTTGATGAAAATTATAACTCTTCTATAAAAAATATAACCAGCGCTTTAATTATAACAGAATATGATATGATGCCTATAACATCCCTTGTGCATTACCTCTTTTAATGCACAAGGAACGATGAGCCCTTTGTTGTGTCAGAGTAGGTATACATAATGTATATAATATATAAATTTATCCTTTTGTACATGCACAGCTACTTACCCGTTCGACTTGACAAAGACGAGGCTTCAAATACAATCTGAAGTGGCCGCTGCTAAACATGGATATAAGGTGAGATATAGACACAAAACGAGCAAATCGTCATTCTTCAACTACTCCAATTGTTTACTGTAAATATGCCAAAAGGTGGCTTTAGTCACTTGTTTATTCCATTCGCGCCAGTCTATTTGATTATGTTCTGCTTTTATTCTTAAAAGAATAAAGGTGTGGTAAACCACATCCTAGACACTTCATACAAAATGTGATCCAAGATTATGTACAATACAAACAGATGACACCAGATTCGACACTCCCAAATGTGTGTGCATTAGGGGAGAAATGAAATAGTTACTGCCTGCGCTTCCGGGCTATAAGCTACAAATGTATCGGAGGAAAGAGATTATTAGTAATCGAAACACTATTCTCATTGCTAGTACTAATTAACTACCCTTTAAGGTCGATGATAAGCCAACTGACTTCATCCTTCATCCCTACTAGTTACATCGTCCGCTAATATAAACCAATGGCAGGATATTTAAATTTCATCTGGTTAAAAATTGAGTCAGTCGATTATATTTGAGTCAGAAAGGAATTTATTATGTCGTAAGTAAAATAATTGCCATGGTCCTGGCATAGAATGAGCTACCTCTTCCTTTCGCGTGAGTGTCGTGCGACTAATATGTTACAGTAAATTCATCAATTATTCTATTAATCATTAGTAAATCCCACCTCCTTCGAAATTTTTTAATCCCTCAATAATTAATGAAATATGTTTTTTTTTTATACAACTTAGAATGGTAAACAAGCTGACGGCTCACCTGATGCAAAGTGGTAACCGTTGCCTATAGACATGAGCAATACCATGGACATAACAGAGTATACTGTAGATTTTCATAGTTTATTAATATTTCTTCAACAATTGTTACTGTTTCAGTTGGAGAATCTTGGAATGATAAAAACAGCTGTCAGCATTGCAAAGAACGAGGGCGTGCTCAAACTGTGGACCGGACTGATGCCGATGTTCCAGCGCCACGCGATATACTCTGGCTCCAGGATTATTTTCTACGAACAGTTCCGAAATTGGTTCAAAGATGAAAACGGGAAGGTGTCGTTGGGCGTGGCGTCTTTGGGTAAGATTGATATGAAAAATTTCGTCTATTAAAATTTCTAATTTTTTCTGCCAGTTATGAAATATATACGCAAAAAATAAAAATTCTTCAAAAAGCACGTAATAACAATGCATAAAAGATACCTCTAATGTGGCACGTCGATAGGCAATGCTGAACATTTACCAGTTAAGCAATAAGCTTTATGGTTTGCCACCATTGTACTAAAAAAAAGGCTTTTTTGAGTCAGTAACAAGCACATAATGTCATCTGCTGGCCTCTGTTGGGTACCTACCTCTTTCTCATTTGACTTTCTGTGTAAGCAGCTGTGTTCGATATGAAAGGTCTACCTTTATATTAAAATGAAAACCTTAATCTAGAATTAGCAACATATAGACATTATGGTGTATTATGTGATGTACATGGTGCTGATGTCTTTAGGCGACAGCCTACAGTTTCCATCAGCTTATTGACTACTCCAAGGCGAAAAAATTTATTTAATGCTTAATATTTTACTACTGTCACCATATTTCTTGCAATGTTTGAACAACGCACATTATTGGACAGGTAATGAAACAGGCTTAACATGATTGGAAGTCCTTCAGGGGGGCTGGCTGCTGGGTCTTTGGCGCAGCTGATCGCATCACCCACGGACTTGGTGAAGGTACAGATGCAAGCTGAGGGTCGGAGGGTTCTACAGGGCAAACCACCAAGATTCGCCAACTGCAGACAGGCGTATGCGATGCTATATGCTGAATCCGGGATCTTGGGCTTTTGGAGAGGTAATTTCATATATTTCTTTCTTTGTATATTTAGACTGATATAAGGTTTTATGAAAAAACAGAGAATTCAATCCTAATAAATTATATATAAAATCTATATAAAAACGGATCAAACTTGTCACATACTAATACCAAGCAATAGTTGCAGCCGATGACGATAATAATTTTGACCATTTTAATAGGTAAGACATGGTCCAAGTAACTCATTTATATCAGAGCCAATTGAATATTTTAATATAACTAGATACTCAAAATATCCATTCAAAGTATTCATTCTTTTCTTGTTTACATACGTAACAATATTTATTTTTCTCCTCTTGTTGGCATATAACTTTATATACAACTTTAATCTTTGTTCACGTTTAAATAAATCTACATTGTATTTGGTATTACGGACAATTTAGAACCAGGTAAGGTACAAACACCATAAATAATTCGCAAAGGACGTATAATTGTAATGGAATTGTTTGAATATTTCTAGGAGCGGTGCCAAATGTACAACGAGCGGCCTTAGTGAATATGGGAGACTTGGCAACCTACGACTACACTAAACAATTCCTGATGAGGGAGTTTGGAATGGCCGACAACGCGTTGGTGCACGGCGCCGCTGCGTTTTCAGCTGGCTTCGTCGCTGCTGTCCTGGGAACCCCGGCGGATGTACTTAAAACGAGACTTATGAATCAACCTGTCGGTCCTGATGGAAGGTAAGAGAATTTATTTTAATATACTCCTAGGTGTCATTTATCAAAGGTAAATAGATGTCATTTAGATTACTTTTTAATTCGAGTACATTTCAAGTAAAATAAATAAATATATATAGCGAGTATGATATTCGTTAACCATAAATTATAATGAAATGCGCTGAGCTGGCAACAGTGGGTCACCTGAATCCCCATAACGAAGAATCGGGTCAATTGGCGGATCCATACAGAAAAGAGAGCGAAGAGAGCCCGAGAGATAGAGAATCTTTTAAAAGCTACCGTTTACACGGTTCTATATAATTATATATATAATATTAGCCTTTAAGTCTAGTATTATATGATCTATGCTAAAGCACTCATATACGTAAATGTAAATAAAATGATAAAAGATTTCTTGAATATCTCATACCACCCACACACAATTTTAGACTTAATAAAAACAGAAGACAAACATCTGCCTAATTAATAATTAAGTAAAATTATAATATAAAACATAAATCATCGACCTTTGTACAGTTCCAGAAACACCCAGACTTAAGTTATTAAGTATTTACTACCAGATTTCAACCTTATTACTGAGTGACAGAAATTAAATTGATGTGTTCTAAAATCGTAAAGATCTTCCAGTCCACAAAAGGCTAATGAAAAATGGCTTAATACTGTTTGGTAGTATAAATGTACTAGTCAAGATTCTAAGAAAACAATACTTATTTTAAATCGATAAGCCCCTAAAACCAGCTGAAATGTTTCTAAGTAAATTTTAGATTAGATAGGGTTTCTCGAATTTCATTTTTACAAATCTCCAGACTTAGATTAGTATATAATCTAAGTCTACAAAATCTTATCTATTTATGTTATATATACTTTACCTACCAACTTATAGAATGTTTTACGTATGCAGCAGCTACTAATAAGTCAAATGAGGTCGTGAATACTAAATAACAATCATATTCCAGTAACTAGTTTAAGAAACTTTGGAACAGCTGTAGCTGTATTACTAGTGGAGGATAGATACGCCTACTATATTACGTACCTACTTAAAGATATCGACGCGGTTGAGGTCAACCGAACGGGGTCAAAGTCGGGGCTCGCTGCGCTGCGCAGACTCGATGTACAATGTAATACACGCGTCCTTTTCCTTTCGTTTCAAAGTGCAATTTGCGTAAATCTATTGCATAATATGAGTATAGAAGATATAATTTGAAGAATAGTAGATATAGGTAACAGTCCAAAAAGCAGTTTATTATATTCATGAAACGGAAAAACCTCTTAGGAACTGCGAATATGTGGTCAATTTAGATACTATGAACAGTTCAAAATGTACATATTTAGAACTGCATTTAAATGACTGAGTAGTCTCAAGTACAGTTTTTTAATCTTAAAAATTATATTAAATACCAGCCGTTTCCCGCGGGGTTACTCACTTCTATGTAGTTTCCGTATATCATTCCCATTGAAACTCTTCATGAATCCGGTCTTATATTATATACCTAAATGATAATTAAGTACCTAACATCTTCATAAAGTTTCAGCCAATTCAACTGATTGGTTATTTTATAGCATTTTATATGTGATTCTTTAGATTATTATAACTATAGGCGACGGTTACCACTTTCCAACAGGTGGTCCGTCAGCCTGTTTGCCATTGTTGCATAAAAAAAAAATATTTATGGACCGATTGAAATAATATAAACACAAAATGTTAAGTGGAGAAAATCACAACGCATTCAAATCAGTAATGCCGTTTCTGAGATAAGCGTGCACAAATGTACAGACAATCAGACAAAAATTCTAAAAATCATTGTTTGGGTTCTATTGCGTTCATAAAACCTCTCTATAATAGTCTTTCTTATATATCTTCCATGTTCAGTCAGTTACCAGTTACGATTTTATTATATATATAGATTTAAAAAAAATGATTCTATTTGGAGTGGCAAAAGAGTTAACGACCATTTAATAAAAAAATTATCACTGTCGCCGATGTTATAACCAAATGTTTTATTATTTGACTTTCTATTATCCGCTTTTTACATTGTATTACTCGTAAAGTTCAATAGATAAATAAATAATGAACAGCATCACGAACGGTAAATACTGACATTTCGGCGTTGTAAGACTTATGCGTGGCGTGATGTTTAGCAGTGAATTACCAGTTGGTTTAATGCGGATTCAAGGACTTCATTTTAAAATAGTCTTTCTATGTAGTATTGCATTAAAAATAATAAGTTAACATTTGTATGTGTCAACTAATAAAATTGGGTAATATAATAACAAAACTCAATTCTTTTGTCAAGTCTTGTTAGAGTTGTTGAATCTTGCGCTATGTATATGGTTTGGGGTCAATAGAAAGGCGTTTCTCGTGAAATTGTCGGCTGGTCGCGCTGCGCGTCTGGCATTGATAGTGGCGAAACCCGTGTGACTCAACGAGTAGATACTTACATTTCTAAGTCTCGTTTTTTCTTTTAATTTCCATACTATTATTATATATTATTACTAGCTATAGCTTTACGTAGCTAAATCAGTACATAAAGTATCTTATGTGCTAAGTTACAATATAACTTATTCCTATACTAGATTTCTTGTCGAAGTAATATGAAATTATTAATAAAAAAAAAAATGATAAAATACGTGAATTTCTTCATTGCTTGTAAAATGCCCTCATAACTATACTTTTCTCTATCATATTGTTGGTCGCGCTCACTTCGTCAGTTTTAGCGTAGTTTTTTAAAAGGCACTTTTTACACAGAGTGAAAAATTTACATTTATTAAGGATATATTTTTTGTACGAAACATTTTATGACATTTGAGACACGAAATTCTATCATTATCGCAACGTATATGCGTAATACTATATCCCATTAAAGGGAATGCAGATAATTTAGTAACATTTGGTTCCACTAAACAAAAAACACCGACTTCAATTATGGCAAAATCAGTTATTTTTATTTAAAAACCACTGCACCGATTTTGATAAAATTTCTTTGGGACCAATCTGTAAGTATATTCTTTCAGATAAAGATTTTCCAAATCGGTTAATAAATGATACGATTATTAATTATTGTTTGATCAAATCCTTTAATGATTTTTAACTTGAAATGTTCATCGCTTGAATATTGATAAGTATGTGATACGGATGTCGCGCTTCTTGCGATAAAAATCGATACCAACCCATTCTTTACAATATGTAAGATTATCGATTTTTGTTTTCTATTTCAGAGGGCAGTTGTATCGCGGAATGATCGACTGTCTCCAACAATCTGTGAAGAACGAAGGCGTATTATCACTTTATAAGGGATTCTTACCATTATGGATGCGTTTAGGTCCTTGGGCGCTTATCAACTGGATAGCATTCGAGAACATAATGTTGTCTATAGGGGGACAGACATTTTAAGCCAAATTTTGTAATTAACATTTAAAAATAATTACATGAGTCAACATATAACCGACACATAAAATTTGAAAGGCGTTTAATATGTCTGTTCCAAATGAATACTTAATGTACAATAAAACAGGGACTTTTCTCAGAATAAGATCTTATCTGAGCAAATTGTATAAATTTTTGGGGCTTTACCTACAAGGTTGACGATTATAGGTATAAAGCTAACACAACATTGAACAGTGTAATTATCACTAAGGCAGTTTAATATTTAATTTATAAATTTTTAGAACATTATAAAAATATAATAAAAAAAATTGCCCAAACTAAACAAAGAAAAATATATAAAAATATATTCGTCTCAAAGTTCATAAATGAATAGTCAAATTGTGCACAATGTTTTTTATAGTTTAATGGTTATTTTTTTAATTGAACAATAATGAAAATATATCTTATATACGTCGATAATGAACCTATTGTTGTAAGCGAATAATTTATTAAAATAGGTAAATATTTATTTATTTATTTGAGTCATAGATACACTTTATATGAAGTAGTCATTCAATTATTTTATGTTTTTAATCGACCAGTGGTGCTATTTGTTTATGCCATTTCGTTATAAGTAAAAGCTTTAGCAACGAATTAACTTATAAAGTACTGCTGTAAAAATCTATATTTAGTAATCATTTAATATAAATAAATTATTAGAAGCCACAAATTACTAAAATCAAATATTTTATTGGTTAACTACAAGTATATTTTTGGTACTGAATATGCTTTGGGGATAATTTATTTAATGAACAAAATTCTAAAATGAAGTCGTCATTGCAGTACCTGTATTCCAAGTGATTTAAAGTTTTTATAATTATTATATATTATAAATTTGGAACCGCTAGTTAATGGTAAGTATAAATGTATTATCTATGATATATAGGTACCCTCTCCGTTCTTTTATATGCATATATTTTTGTAATTATTTTTGACATATTCCTGCAATTGTTACCGATAGATTGGTATTTAAAATAAAAATTAGTTTTAAACATAAGCAAATTAGCGGAACGCCCCCTTAGCTACACAATTATACCAGTTTGTATTAATATGTACTCTTTAAAAAGGTAGTAGTCATTACAAAAGACAAACAAAAGAACTGTGATTCGTTCCTCGTAATTTATATAATATAGATTTTAATTAACTTTTTTGTACAGTTGTTGTTAGAAATATTAGATACATAGTATCAAATATATCTCGTTGCTGTGTATTTTTAGATTTATAACACCGTGTTGATAGCTGTATAGATTTAAAATCATGTGCGAAATGTGATGTTGTTGACAATATACTTAATAAATTATTTATTTGTTGAACTGTCTTTTGATTTTGTGTGGCAATATATTAGTACATTCAACAATAATTTACAAAAATTACATATTATCCCCAAACAAATTATCGTCATTATTTTTAAAGGAAAGGGAGCAATAGTTTACAACAATAAAGAAACAAGTTTGATTCTATTTTATAGTTTACAACTATTAATTCGTATATATATAAAAAAATCAATGTTCAATAAAAAAATAATATAGCAACACAGAAATAAAACACACTAATATAATATTAAATTTATTAGTAAAAAATATTATACATCTTCCACAATATTGGAGAATCATAACTTAATTATTTAAATATTTGATTATAATAGATTATAGCACTTCCGATTTCTTAAAACTTGCCTTCATGCACTTACTTGACACTACAGCGAGAAGCTATGAACTATTATAGACTGTCGTTCAATATATTCTTTATAAATTGATCATCACAACATGCTACAAACGAGTGGCTTCATACTTATTCTATAATACACACAGTTTAAATGCTTTGCTGAATAAGGGAATTAAAAAAAAGTCATGTCACATGGGGAGGGAGTTGGTTATACTTAACGTTATGATGTCTTCCATATTTAGACAGTATTCAAATATTTTACGATTAAAATTCTATCAAGTATGTTTATTTCCATAAATATAGTAATTTTGGGTACAATACAATAACAAAAATAAATATCTACATTGGGTCAACGAGCACGCAAAGTTTTAATTTCAAGTCTTGACTAACTGTTAAACGCTAACTAAGTACAACGACACCGAGTGTCACGGTTTTTGATAACACCGTTACTGTATTAATTGTAACAAGTAGTACTCACTACTCTCATATTATAATTATATTTCAATTATTACGTTAAAACATTTTAAGACAAATTTCACTTCGTCATTAATTGGTAAAACGCTAAAATGGTAACACCCTGCATAAAATTAAAAACATCGAAAGCGAATAAGAAGCATGTTGTTATGTGGGCATATTATGTCTTTACTATTCTTCCTCGCTGTTCGTATTCATATAATGACATCGAAACGATAGTCAATATATATAAGTTGATCCTTTATACTCTGGCATTACATTGTGCGACACAATATAATCTGAAACTAAACCTAGAGGGAGAAGCTTTGAAGGACGCTACATCGTTTATATCCTACGCGAATATGGTACCAGTATAGATTTGTATATCAATGATAAAAAGATCGAAATAATGTAAAACCAACTTAAATCTATGATACTTAAACTAACATGTAAATGGTAAATATTTAAAAATGAGCATTATAGACTAAAAGTGGATAAATAATGGTCATATAATAAAAAATAAAAAAAAAAAAATCACATCAATAAAAAATCTATATAGCGGGGGAATTATCAGCATATACTGAGTTGATCCCTTTCACCTTTTACTTAAATATATTTCAAAAAAACTACAAATAACATTCTGGCACGTTAGCGAGGACAAAATTATTGTTTCGTCCCGCAAATTGTCACAATTACACAATTGAGAGGTTGTTAAATTCGTCAAAGTACACAAAAAAAAAAAGTGGATAACGGCACCGAACAATTTTGTACTACACAACGTCAATATTGTGGATAAGGGCAGTTCAACTCACGGACAAGCACAACTTAGCAGTCACAATTATATCATTATAGTAAATGTATTTTATATATGTATGATTAACGTAACCAAACAGCCGGGGACCTAAGCACCTTTACTGTGAAATGTTATATGTGGTTACATAAAATCATACTTTGGCCGGCTGACACTTTGTTGAGATGTGAAGGCGAGATTATTGCATGTGTTAAGAAAACTATAACGCTTTCTCGTTATTGTGTGATCGTACATTGGTGTTGGGTAAATGATTTGTCATCAAGATGTCAGCCGGTGACGATGTCGACGCGTCAATATAGTGGGGCGGCACACAACACAATATCAGCGGCTACGAAGAGGCAAGGGTGGATCGCGCGAGCACTATGAATGGTAGGCTGTGACGTAAGACGCCGGGAACAGGCCGCGACGGTGAGCTATCTCGCCCTGGAATAATTAATGGCTTGTATTTGTCAGAGTGTACAATTTTTTTAAATATCCTTACCAATGCAGAGAACTTTAGTGGAAATATAAATAAGTTGTAAAAGATTGCACATGCACCTCTATCTCTCTTATTAATCTACTATTAAGCTTGTTTGGCTTAAAGGGGCACGGCAGTGAAAAATATACTGTAACATGACATCTTTATGTAACAAGTACAGGCTATCGTCCAAATCCATGTATTTGTGGACAGAACGATATTGATAACAATAATGATTTCAACGATGTGAATGGAGTTGTTCTGGTCTATAAGATATGATTATAACTTACCATTGCACACACCGTCAGCTTTTTGAGTAAATCAAAAACTAACTAAAATCTGCTTTTTTTATAAGTATTATTTATTGACATCTTTCTATTCTTATGCTATCTACTAGACAGCTTAAAAAACTAGCTGAGAGAACATCAGAAATACAAGTTCTTTATTAGAGTGCAGTAGATAGGTTTTAAATTTTATCATGAATACTGGTATCGTTACCAGTACTTGTTTGTTCGTAAACATGGCTAAACTTTATGCAAATATTTACCATTAGTTATTAACCATATTAAAAATTCAAAAAAGGCATTACTAATTAAATGTGTCCATTTCTATATCGTTACAAAGATATATTTGTCTGAGATTTCTCTAAATTGTAGTCTCTGTCAGTCGAGTAGTCTACAGTTTTTAGCTGAGAAATCTACGGCATGCTTTTTAAAACACTTCTTTTTCGTAGCTTTTGAGAGTTTAATACATTGTCTACTTTTTTAAGGCCAGCGCAGACGAGAGACAGTACTCCACATACATTTTTGTACGTCATAACAGAATTGAATCGTATTGGTGACATACATTAAAATGCTTGTCAGTGCGGTTGACTGAAAGGGCCAATTTGTCGTTGGCGATAAATTACCACCCGTATGCACAGGCCATTAAGGATAAATGTATAGTCATACCTGCCACCAGTGTTGATCAGAGCGGTCAGTGACGGTAATGACGTCACCACGTCTAAACTCCAGTTCGCCAGCCTCTTGCGGCGTGAAATCGTATAGAGCTTGTACCAGCATCTGAAACATGCATTCAAGAAGTGTAGTTAGTTTTCTATAATGTAATATTTTTTATTTATAAACTTATTTTACTATCTTTAATCAGTTATTCACAAGACTTTCACAATAAATTACTATTCATCTAATACAAATTTCAATAAAATTAATTTAGACACATCACACTAATTTGATATTGAAAATAATTAATTATTAAAATTTATTATTAATCATATTTATTACGTAGGCAACTATAATTCCTCATAACATTGAGATAAAATGCAATATACTGACGTATATGCAAACATGTTTATAAACACTACAAGCCGAGCTAAATAAGGCCCGATGTGATAATTATATCAATATAAATAGGACAATTAAGTGTACATCTAAGTATGTACAATATAATCTATACAACGTATGATAAATTTTTTGTAGAATTTAATACTTAAATACCAGTCATATTTGGTGATTAAACAACCAACTTCAAAAAGGAGGATTTTTGTATTTTATGTTTGAAACCTGAGAACACCATCATTTATAAATGAATTTGAAAATACTTTTTTTATCTGAAAATATATACTTTCAGATTGGTCCTATAGAAATTTTATTAAAATCCGTTCATTAATTTTTAGATCAAAATAATTATGCAAGGATTGAAGTCGGTGTTTTTTGCTTCGTGGAACATAATCTTACATTATTGAAACCGTACCTATATTTAAATGTATTCTTGATTGTATACTTGTAATCTATGGGCGCCTTCACGGCTCGGTCGAATACAAATATAAAAGGAAAATCTTAGAGAAAAGCAAAATCCATACCATTGGATGGATGGAACATTGAGATTATGGAGCTTTGAAAATTCTATGCACGTCAACGATATTACGTACTAGTTTTTAATACGTCTTTATTATGGATATGTTGACTGACTGGGATAAAAAATATTTAGCTTTTATCCCAAATATAACGCGTATACCAAATTTCAAGACGATTGTTTGAATAATTAAAGCTCCAAGAGGCAAACAAACATATTTTCACATCACTACTAATATAGGCGCGAAAGTTTGTGAGAACGAATGAATGAATAGATGAATAATCATGTGTAATATTTGTACACACAGTCTGATATACATTGTTGATGCCATAGTGGTTTCAGCTGGCAATACTGTAGTATGCTTTTTAACAATAGGCATGCAAATATTTCAATTTATTAGTAATACCTATATTAAATAAGTGCCATACAATCACAACAATTGTGACATAATAGATGAATGAACGGAATTGATTACATACATACATATCTGTCACGTCCTCCCATTAGGGTAGGCAGAAACAATGGAACGCCAAATGCTTGAATTGATTAAAATTTGGTATATGGAATATATCCTAATTCAACATATTTATTACTGTATAAATGGATTCACGCAGACAAAGTCGCCTTATATGATTAGTGTGTAATATTGTAAATTATAAAAGCGCCCATTGAAATGAAACACGGTCAATTTGGTTCAAGTGCGTGCCGCCACGAAGGCACTATTTGCTCTGTATGTGTGTAACTAGATATTATAGGAATACGCTGTCCGGGTTATTTCTGTAGCTTTATCAGGGTCACATCGGCCGCGACTGTTTGCACACAGACAACGTACCTACTGTGGTTTCTTCACGTTATATATTGAACTCGATTGTCTATATTGAGGTTATGGTATTCTAGTGGTAGTTACTAATTTTATATTACTATAGGTAAATTGGCAAACCTTTTATCCTCTAACACCACTTACTGGGTCTATTTTTTAACGAGACAAAAACAATCCTATATCTTGAGTTGGAACAAACAACACATATTTACAAAATTTCATTAAAATCATTTGAGCGTTTAAAAGATTAACGTGCACATACGTCGCGACATGGGATATTTTTTATATATTAAGAAAAAGATTAATTCACGCCCTCTTTACCCGAGGTTTTATTACATATTTCTTTAGTTTAACAGTAATATTGAAGACTATGTTACCTATGGAGGTGTTAGGAGTAAAATGATCGCCGTATACTTACAGTCAGTCATAAAAATGGTATATTTTGATAGATCTTTTTGAAAGACACAATTCTTATTATGTAGAATATATATGGCTAAAATATTTGAATTTAAAATCTATAAATATGCTTTTTGTAACAAATTTGTAGAATTTGTCACTGAATTATCATAACTCTAAAATTGGGACAAAAACAATTTTTTAAATCATACTTCAATATTTATATACACAGTAGTACTACAAAGTATTTAAATTCATGTTAGTTTCAACGTGGATTGCACTACAATGTCAAGAATAATAATAAAAAAAGAGATAAGTAAACACTAATTACTGTAATATTTTAGGAAATAAAATACATACATAAATTATTTACAATATTAAAGTTTAAAATACTTCAAAATAGTAATGAAATAATCAGTAGCCGCTAAAAAAACAAAAGACATTTGTATATACAAAAGCACCCAAACCTCTTTCAATAAGTTCGTTGTGAAACATTAGAAAAAAGATGCACTTAGAGATGATTGAATATAAACAAAAATTATTAAAGAGTACTTAAGTTGTTTACATTATTAGTAAGCTACTTTTATTTTCTTCAAACTAGATAAAATCTATTCATGCGAGTTATATATAATTAAAGATTGTGTTCCACAAAAAAAAAAAAAAAACCAACTTCAATTGTTGCAAAATTGTGACAAAACCAATTATTTTCGTCTAAAAACTAAATTACTGAAAAAATAAATTTCCAAATAGGTTTACAAACTGACGGAGATATGAGGTAACAAATATAAAAGAAAAATACAATCGAAATGAGAACCTTAAATCAGTTAATAGTTATCACTATTCTGTAGGTTTCTGCAGAGTATTAGTTATTTTAAGACTTAATGTGTCTACTTATTTTAGGTACATCAAAAAATTTGTTCTATCAAATTAGTATTTCTAAGAATTTAAGCTTTCATATAGACACATATTTAGAAGTGTCAAACTTAATGTCAGCTACAAAGACATGTTTCAGTTCCACTCGATACAAAAAAGAAACGTCTGTCGTTGTTTCTTTAGAGATAATTCAGTGGAAAATTGAAGAGGGACACTGTCTTGACAAGTTAGTGATACATTTTGTATTGATGGCAACATTTACATTGGCTTCTACTAATTCTACAAAATTTACGTCTTCAATTCAGTCTCAATGGACAAGTGGCATACTAACAATAGGTACGTTAGCGCTACTGTATTCACACATGTGATAGAGCGAAACATCAACGGACGACGTCTTGTTTCCTTAAAAGTATTTAATGATACATTAATTTGCTATTTATCTAAGTTGAGTAAGTTTTAGGTTTTTAAAGGCTAAACCTGAATTCCAATGATCTTAAATGCTCAGTTAGTGCTCCTTAGGGACGGAATAAGATTTTAGGGGAAGTTTCGTATGAACTCGTTTACATTGAGACATATGTCAGAGATACGCATCCTAGGCATTTATATTACAAGATATACTCAGACTGTACAGGCCATCAACGGCATTCTATAAACACAACTATGTACTATGCTTCATTGTGTCAGGACCACACGGCATAGAATGGTCCACCACCCTTTTTCGTAGGTGTCGTAAGAGGTGACTAAGAGAACATAATGGTCGAGGAATTGGCGCAGCGTCCGTCTTAAGACATCATCAAAGCCTAACTGAAGGCCTATGTTCCGCAGTGGACAGTTAACGGTTGACGTAATAATAATGATAAGTATGCCTACTCCAGTCTTCAATAGACGTAGACAGGTATTGCCAGTTTATCAAATAAATTACATAAAATGAAGAAGAGTTTGTTTGTTTGAACACATTAATCCCTGATGGTACTAGTTTTGTTTTTGATAGCTCATTTCTTGAGGAAAGCTATTTAATATCAGGATACGTCCACGGTCGAAGTCGCAAGATATATAGCTAATATAGGGTATGACTTTACCTCTTCTGGTACGACATCTCTCAGCTTGACGTCCTGCAGGCGGCTAACGGAGGCGGTGCGATGATAGTCCACCAGTTCGTTGAGAGAGTTAAACTTCACTACCCAAAGGAAGAACTTGCTCGAAGCGTCTCGGAGTACCTTGAAGTGCTGGACACCGTCTGGACATCTGAGATAAAACAAGTGCTTATAAAGAATTTGGCGTATACTAGAAGTATCATTGAATATCAAGTGATACGAAGATCCCAATAACTTCACAGCCATCTCATTACATTTCAATCTGAAACACAGGATGTGAGCAAACACATTGAACACAAGAATAACAGGTCCAAAAGAAGTATCCATAGGAGACGACGGTCTCCATGGTATTGGCGCTCTGAATTTTGCTACTTATGGTATCCAAAGACACCAATCTATAATACGGTAAACAGAAAAAATCTATAAAAACTGCAATTCTTTCATATCCAACTTTATTCACACTTTTACTTATCCTGACTAATATGATAAATAAAAGTGAGTTTGTTTGTTACATTATGGCATCTTAACGACTTTACCAATCACTATTATATTTGATATACACATACTGTATTTAATGTAGAAGGGCATAGGCTACTTTTTATTCCGGTCAATGGACATTTCCAGAGGCGCGGACAATGTCGCGAGTAAATGCTAGTAAACTATGAACTTTGCAACGTGAATATATATTTATACTAGGTATGAGTATGTTTTCTAATATATGTCGATGGTTCTGGACTTAAATTATATGTAAAAAATGAATAGGTAATACAGTGCTTTGTATCGGCATGATATCGTCTTACCGATAGATACAAGAGCCGATGAAGTGACTTTACACGAAACTCATTTATATATTCAGGGTCGAAATACTTAATCCGCTTTTGTACAAAGTTTCAGTCATTAGAAACGTAACTTTATAAATCCCTACAGGGTTGACAGTATCGTATTTAATTTCGTAACATTATAAACTTATATTCGGTGAAAGTTTAATTAAAAGGAATACTCTCATCAAAACATTAGTACGTGACAGATTAATATTTAATTTATGAGAGGGGAATCAATCCTCCCTCCCTAATAAATTAATTGAATAGGGCGCGCCTACCTAGCTGGTTCAACGCACCGAACGTATTTATGTAAAAGAAACTAGAAGGCCAAAACAATAAAAAAGTTAGGCACGTTAACGTGGAGGTTTAATATTCCTTAAAAAACTTATATTTGTGTAGAACTTTACTGTGATTTTTCACATTTTATATATATATATTTTTTAATTAGTCTTATTTTTGAATTTCAATAAAAGGCAATATGAAATATGGAACAAGGTGAAATATTTGTTTCATTTTAGGTATCATATACATCGTCAGGCAAATTAGATAATTAAATTAGAATTTTAGTTTTTAGTTATAAAACCATCTAAATAATCATTCGCAAAATGTATTTACTATGCATTACGATGATCATCTTGTGTAATTTTTTATAAAAATGAGTTAAGTGTGAATAGAATCGAATAAAAATAATTTCTAAAATTTTCGGCCAGAAAACCTGTGACACTGCAACTTTTACATGATCTTTTGTGCTCGCTCTTTTTTTTTAAAGTTCCATACTAATTCTTCTTAGTGATAGACATGTATTTTATCTAAAAGTTTCTTATATTTTAGTTTATTCATTTTCGCACTCAGCCAATTCGTTGACTTAAAATTTTTTTGCTGTTTTCAAGCTTATAGTAAAGTAGGTAAATTCCGAGTTGGTACTTCAACACAAATGTCGGTAAATATGAAAAGGTTATCTGATATTTACCGTTTTACGTGTCAAACATCGAACTTATCGACAGTTAAGGGCAAAGTGACAACGCAGTAGGTGCATAGCAACAAGACATTTTTATATATCCAGCACAACTTACCGGGCCTAAAACTTTATCCCCCTTAATCATACATTCATTCTACAAACTTTTTTTTAAATATCACACTGCTTTCTTTCAAATTGAAAATTTAAAAAAAAAACAGCAACTTACAGCGAATTTTGAACAATAAATGATGTGTCCTTATAGATCTTACTTGGCAACAAGGAGGATTTTGCTCCAAAAAGAAAAACAGTAGCTTCAACCGATACAAAATTTATACGGAACTCTAAACCTCTTCAACAAAATATGTTCTGAATTGACGTAACCCTTTACCAGACTTTGTACAAAAGTCGATTGCTTTCGATACCTCTGTCCCATTCGTGTTTCAACCGTGAAGCAGTTGTTTGCATGGCTGTGTTGCGGTTTGAAGGGTGGGATATGGCGTGAATTTACTGGGTACAGAGGAATAACACCTGAGTCCTCAGGAATGGCAACGCAAGGGGGTATCATGAGCGAAACAGTATACTCTGTTATGTTCATGGTACTGCTCATATCTATAGGCGACGGTTATCACTTTCCATCAGGTGAACCGTCAGCTTGTTTGTCATTCTAAGTTATATAAAAAAAAGGTAATACACACAAAAAAAAAAAAAACATTTGAATACTTATTTTTGGAAGTTGTTTAAAAATTGAATTTCTTCAAGACATACTATTACGAATTGTCATGTCTTTTTTATCTTTTTGTAGACAGAGATAGCTTCTACACAATAACAAAGCTATTGTTGTTCAACACAAATTCCTACTAAATATTAAGATTTATGAATAGATTTCTGAAAAGTAAATGTTGTCTATGAATATATTAATCTTAAAACAGCAACGGACAGGGCATTCACAAAAACAGTGATAAATAACGCAGTGCTGGATAATTTTTAATGTAACAATAACAGAATGTTCCCAAATGGGCATTCGTGATAAGCGGGATTAGCATATTCTTTTACTTTTCAAAACTGTTGCAAATAACATTTCGCTTTTGCGGCAATATGTTTTTCCTCATCCCGTTTTAAAAAAAGTGCTTATAAAGTTTAGATATATATAAATAAAATTACAGTGTTTTCAAACTTTTAGTTTCTAAATTGTTACTTTGTATATTTGATTTTTAACACTCACTTTAGAAAAAATTCTTTAAGAAAAATAAAGGTACTATTAATAAATTACAATTTTCAATAATTAACTAATAAATTAAAAATTGTGTCTCACAAAAAACCGTTTTCAATTGTGACAAATCTGTAATTATAATATAATTACAGATTTTCAGACAAAAATTTTTCTAAATCGGTTCAGGACTGACAAAGTTATGAGATAATAAACATAAAGAAAAATACAATCGAATTCAGAAGCTGTTTTTTTAAATCGGTTAAAATGTGGTATTCTATAGTCCTAATCGTTATTCACTTACCAAGTTAGATATAAATCTACAATTAAAAATTGTTCTAGATGCTTAGTTAGTCCATATTGCTTCTTGGCATGGTTAACGTTTCTAAATAATGTTTAGACCAACTAGAAATAACTAATATGTATTATAAATGTAATGTTAATTATATTATAAATGTGAAAGCTTTATTGTTATTTGTTTGTTTATTGTCCCTTGACATTTTAACAGTTCAACCAATTGTCACGGTTTTTTATGGATGATAATAAAATGGTATCGTTGACGGGGTACCAGTTATAGATTATAGGTGAGTATGAAACCATGGCAGTTGGCCGATCGTCACGAATTCCACAAGAATTAATCACGATGTTTTCCAAGGGGAACCACGTAGTTGTCGACCTGATAGTACTAAGAATTCCTTTCCCCCCATAAATAATCAGTTTTTTTTTTAATGAGTGAAAATGGAATGGTAACCCCGCCTGCGCTATCGATATACGCTGGCAGGGCACCAGTGACAGTGAGCGTGAAAGCAGGTCAGTTAGCCCATCGTGAAAAATCCGTTAAAAATATCCACGATGGTTTCCAGGGGAACCGCGGGGAGGTCGACCTGATAGGGTACATTGCTAATAATGGAATTTTTAGATCCCATTACTAACAATCCTTTTCCCCCCAATAATCATAGTTTGGTATACAAGTATCATACTATATGCAAAGGAGAAGGAAAAAAGGACTTTTCATTCTCCTGGTCATGCGAGTGAGTACACGTGTAAAAACTAGCATATTCATAAAAATGCTCAACAAATAATTCGAATCATAATGAGACCTGGAGTTTTTCAAAACTACTGCATCGACCGATATACTCGTATTATACGTAATGACCCTGGGACTAGTTTATTTTTTGATACAATATCATATACAAAATACTATTACGTATTCAGCGGTAACATGTCAGACGGATCCAGAGCAAAGATAGGTATAATAATAAGGCGGATAAAGTTGCGAACACTGTATAAAACATTCGTTTAAAATTCTTAAGACGTTATATGTCGTCTATAGATGTAACAAAATAAGCAATTTTTCACGTTCAGTTTAACACAATAAGAGTCGAAGACACAAACGCGGAGGTAACAAACGTATATTTTAGTAATGCGAACTTGCTCGAATAAGAATTCGCAGTCAGATCATGTTGACTAATATTATTTCTAAAAACTATTTTATCCTCTACTTTCTTTTAGGGATAAATATACTTTTTTTATTATAATATATCAGGCGTTAACTGTCCACTGCTGAACATAGGCCTGTCTGTCCCATAAGGGAGGTTTTGCCCGTAGTTGCTACATTTGGCAGGCGGGTTGGCAACCACAGTTAGACTTTAGTGATGTTTTAAAGAGTCAAAGCTACCCAACCCTCGACCATTAAGTTCCCTTAGTCGTCACTTACGACACCCACGGGAAAGGAAGGAGTGGCCTTTCTATGTCGGAATACACACAACATAAACACACATGTGTAAATAAATTTACTTGTTACCTCTTTAATTAAGACTAGGGGAGGGGGATTATTAGTAATGAGATTTAAGAGCACCATTATTAGCAATACACCCTGTCCTTATCAAGTCGATCTCCGCGTGATCTGACGTGGTGACCATCATGGTTAATTTATGAATTAATCACAATAGGCCAATCGACTTGACTCCATCGTCACATATCATTATTTACTGATATCTCGCCAACGTATACTGATAGCGCAGGTGGGGTTACCATTCCATAAAAAAAAAATAAACAATTGAGACTCACTTGGATTAACTGGGCTTACAACATATTAATATATTAGATTTATATATTAATATATTAAATATGACAGAATTACGCGGATCCAGTAGAAGGTTATATAATGAGTCATTTGATGATTATCTAGTATAAGTCACAGACGAAATTGGTTGTTACTAAATACTAGCAATGTAGGTTATATGTCAAGAAATCATCAAATCGGACTCCACGTGGTTTCCCGTGGAAACTATCTTGGTAAATTCCTAGTGCGTTCGTCACAATGGAACAATTTGCTCGACTTCAATTCTACTCACTTATCATCCATCACCTTCACCAGAAAAAAGAAAAGAAAAAATATATTAAGAACAGGTCAACCAGATATAATTAAGAAAATATAGTGTCCCAAATTCTTCTGTTTTGGTCACAAGCAGTTTGTTACGATTAACGAAGCACCTTTCCTGACCCACGTCACATTATAATAGATATATTAATAAGTCTGAAAAACAGCGAGCTCGTATTTATAACTTCTATTAACCTTTTAATATCGTTTTTCGCTTTTTTATTAATATAACAAGAATCTTACGCAAGTATATATACAATGTTTAGTTTTCGTTTACATTGTGAAGCTATAGTGAAAATATTTGGATTTTGAAATTTATCTTTGAATGAGTCATGATTGCCCATATATGAACGGAACGGTTCTGTTATATAAAGATAGTCTGGATATGAACGACGTTATCCTATAAAAATTCCATACGACACACTATTATGAGGACAATTAAAATAATCTTACAATGGGGTCGATTGTGATGTGTCATTCCCTAAACTTCTCTCTAAAATTACAATTTTAATTTGATAGTTTAGTAAAAATATTATGGTATGGGTGGGACGAGATTTAAATGTACCTAAATCTCATCTGGTTAATAAGAACATAAAACAAATTTTTGACAGACTCGCAAAGACACTAAAGTATAAATGGAAAACGTAATGGTCAAATATTTTTACAATGGGAGTGATCAGTTCAAAATAAAAGTATTGCATAAAACTATCAAAATATGTATAACGACTAGTAAGTTTATGGCTTTATTATAGAGGCCATTATATTGAAACGAAAAGAATTTAGATGGTTAAATTACAAAAAAAAAAAAAAAATATGGATAGTGGTAAAAAAATTACATATAGTTTTTAATAATAAGTTCATTATCAACACGCGGAAGAAGTAGCACAGCTAATATTTATTAACTGTGTTATTAAATATGAATATGTAGTGCTGACACATGATTTCCTTGAATAAATAATATTACAATATAATATTATTATCAGCTCGCTGACGTCAAAACACAAAACGACGGGGACAAATTTATTTGGAAACTGGATAATCTTATCTCGATACACGCGAAAAGGGTTGCCTAACAAAAAAGGGAAGTATGTTTTGTGAGTCAAATTTTGACGTTTATTTTTATAACTGATACAATAAATGCACAAATAATAAAAATAAAACAAGATTCTACTCCAACCATCCGATTAATATTATGTATTACGAAAATTTATAAAGGATGGATGGATAAAATGAAATTTTATTTAATGTTCGTTGATGGATTTTTGTTACTCTTTTACGTAAAAGCTATTGAACGATCTTGAATGAAATTTGGTACATGGGTAGATTACATCTTAACTTAGCACATAGGCTACATTAGATACTGATTCATGAGAGTAAAATCGCAAAGTACAGTTAGTTAATACTAATAATAAAATTGTAAGGAGGCAAAAATATTTTTTCTTTAGAAAAAAAATAGTATTTATCCATCTTCACGCCAGACCCTTTGTGGCGTAGAGAGAGGTAATATAAAAAAAACTAAAGTGCAATAGCATATAGGTAGTAAAAATTTACTGAAAAATTTGGTTTTGTGTTATGCTTTTCCTTTTATAGAGAAGTTATTTTTTATTTTTATCTGTTTGTGTTGAGTGTTGACCCATCACGTATGTACATGTACTATTATACACGCAAACGGAATTCAATATTTAAATTATGATTTCATAATAAAATACCTGCTGAATATCACTGCTATCCTCTGCTATGGTGCGCGGTGACACTAAGCATTACAAGTTATAAACCTCATGCACGTTTTTTTTTTTTTATCAATACGCATGCGGTCAATGCAGTTAACAAACGCACATGTGTGGTGTTCATAGCCAAAAAGCAACATGTGTTACGTCACTGTTGCGTGGATAAACGGTCAAATCCAAATTTATGATTATAAACAAGAAAAAGTTTGAAAAACTATAGCCAGACTAAAGAAGAAATAACTAAAAAGAGAAAAAGTTTCGAACCTTTAACAGAAATAGATAAAATAAAGCAAAAAGTTAGAAATTGTCACATTGATTATGTTTGTATAAAACAGTTTATGTCACCCGAACCGTAATAACAAATCGATTGAACCCACAGAAATAAAAACGGATGAGTAGTTTACGCGATATGGTGGAACATATGTATAACCATAGGTACATTACTGAAAATATAACTTCTTTTACCTTATTGGGGAGAACTCTTCGCAGTAGGATAAAAATAATGTATATAATAACTATATTTTCTAGTACGTAGTATAGTTTTATTTTTTAAATCCCCTGGCAAATTTTATAAGTACAGTTTTCCGCCCACTTCCCTGATATATTTTGATTAATAGCATCGGAAAAGGGACGAGGCCTTCATTACTCTTCGAGTACGACACGGATAAAACGAGAATGATTGTTGTGGTAATTTATTTTGACGTCATATTATAGACTTGTAAAATTTGTGATGTCAAAATATTAGATTACGTAAAATAATTAGTAAACTTGACTAATTAAATTATTGGGGCCTCAATTTCGTTATGAATCAATATACAAATAGACCAACATTCTACATACTAAAACAGGTTTCGGAACAGTCACTGTACTGCTGATTCATACAGGGAACTAGCGAGATAAAAAGTTGTTCAAGCACGAATATAGGGAGTTTCTATCATGGATTCTCCATACTTGTTTGTAATATAATGTTGTGTATTAATGAAAAATATACTTATCATAATTAACGTTTCAGGAATACAAAGATAACAATGTTTCTGTATGTTGTCAGTCACATACTTATTCAAAAATATATATATTGTAAGAAAATACTTGGGTGTGGTGATAATGTAAGAATATAGTGTGTTATAATTCCTCTTCATACTAATCTAAGGACATAAAAAGCATATAATAAGCTAATTTTGAAATAGACCAGGAATACATAGATAGGTACTATATCCGTAAAATGCGACTACAATGAGAAATAAAATTTCGATTATAAACATATTATATACCTCTCACTAGTCGTCTCAATGTAGGCAAATAATTATAAATTTTTTCAACAGAGCCAAAGATTTAGAAGTTAACATAAGTAATTACGTCAAATAAGTTTAATTATCTCTATTGTTTATATATATATATATATATATATATATATATATATATATATATATATATATATATATATATAAAACTGGAATATTATTATGACTAATTTCTTGTTGGGTCTCTGCAACGAAACTACGCGAACCGCATGAGACATGAGTCACGCCGAAAGTCTGAGTGTGAAACTCATTTTTTTATTAACAACCAATTTAAACATAAATAGAATTGTTTGCTGTCGGTTGCATGACCACTTACGTTTATTATTTGATTCTCATTGTGTGAAATAACACACTGAAGGTAAATTGTGTATATTGTATGTAAATTACGACCCAAATAATTGATTATTTTAATAAATTCTGGTGAAAACTATTAATTTGATGTGTGGTAGTTTTATCCTAGTAACTATTATAAAACATATCTAATATAAATATAACTCACTTTCATATTTTGCTTGTTACTTAGATATAGATATAGCTAATAACATAATAGCTGGAAGACTATGCAATATATAATTATATGTGATTTTATGAAAATAAGGGTCTCTATTTACCTGAGGGAGATTGATACAAAAGACATCTGTTTGGATATGTATGACCCACACATGTTTCTGCTGCTATGCATCTGTACTTGCATGGCTGTTTCGGTTTGAAAAGTGGAATGTAATTGTAAAATTATAGGGTACACAGGCATAACATCTTAGTTTCAAGTTTGACAATGCACGAGAGGGCAACAAGGTCCTATTGTATTATGTAATGCCCAGGCTACTGTTCATGTCTATAAGTTATGGTTCCATTTTCCATCTGGTGTTAGAAAATATTCTACTAGATAATATTATTATTAGCTTTTACCTATAATTTCGTTTGTGTGACTGGGATATATTTACTGATCAGAATAGAAAGGATATAGTCTATATCTTTCTCCATCCCGTATAGTATTTGTATACATAATTACATAGATTGATTAAGATAGCAAACAAACTCATTTTCATATTTATAATATTAGTAAGGATAAAAGAAATACTGTTGGTACATATCATACCATAATAATTTCAATTACAATGTAGACAATGTCCTAAGCATAGCTTGGTATTGTATTTTTGTGTCAGGACATTCATGGATATAAATCTTCATAATAATTCATACAAACATTAAATTAGCAAAGAGGATATGTCACCAAATTTTAAGTACAATATTAATTAATGATTAATAGGGACTAAACAGAAATAGGTTTAACAATATTTAACTACGATAACTTTAAAAAAAATTTAATAATGTAAAAACACACTTTAATTCAGAATTTTTATTTAATTATATTCAGAATAATTTTCCATGATGACAGATACCAAAATTATTTCAAATGATCAAAATAAAAATATTCTAAATGGCATAATAATTAACAATATTATTTTTATGAAAATAACAAGACAAAAATAAGTAAACAGATGCAATATGTTTTTGTTTTCATTGATTACTTTTTGGTATATTTGATTTTTATTGAAAAAAATTTACTGTTTATTAATATATAAAGTTTTTAAAAAATAATTAAAAAAAGTACTCACTTTACTGATAATGAGAAGTCACCAGGGCTGGATTCACTGATCCTTATCAAAAATCCACCTTCTGGCTTATTTGTTAACACTTTCTCTGCATCGGCTCTTGTGATCCGTCCAAAGTACCAACTGAAATTATACTCATTGTTTATTAATTGTTCAGAATTAATAGTTTATGAGTAAAAAAAATTTCAGAAATTCACAAGGATTTATTTACAAAGAATCCAATATCATCTGTTCTTGTGAGAATTATCATTTTTCTCTTTTCATTATTTTTATATAAATAGATTTTTAATTATTTTGTATATTTATTTTTAATTAAGGTATTAACAGTGGTACTTTGTACATGCTTAACAGCAGTATTAATGGATTATATTTTGTATATTTTCAAGTCCATTTAAATTAATGAATGAAAACTATTGTTTCACTTCAAATTATTAAATATAATTAAGTCAGAGCAGTGATATTTAAATGTAATTTTATGTGCTATTGATTTATAATGATAAAATTTATAACACAGCTTATATTTTCAATAAGACTGTCTTTTTTATGTTTAAACATAAACAGATGTTAGACACACTTTTGAAATAAGACATCTAAATATTCTTGAAAACCTATGTATTACAAGTTTTTTTTTTTAGTAACATTTTTAGTGTTTATTAATTAGTTTGAAATAAAAATTGAAATAATAGATTTTACTACACAAATATATACTATGTAAACTATTGACTTATATTTACAATTACAATATGTCATAGCTAAATATTGAGATTATTTATATTTCATTCTATAGAAATAAACATATACAGAAAAAAGTCTAGTCTAAGGGCCACCTTAAATTAATTAATTATCTAGCTATTAATATGTGGTACTTATTAATATTGTATAACATTAGAATTAGTATTTGTTACCATTTTTTATGTACACATGTAAATGTTTGCAGTCAAACTAATTGGACTAAATTTATTTTGTTTTTTGAAATAAAAATTCATGAAATATACTTGTTAAATAGGCACTCAAATTTCTGTACAAACATTGCTAAACATTATAGTATCGGTTGTTTTTAAATAATAAAATATTTATTCTATCTGGTAAGTACTCAGTTTAAAAGCTGATTAAAAGTAGGTAAGAGCTATTTTATCAAGTCCTATGTCTGTTAGCTACTGTACTTACTTGTGACTTTTCATTTGAATGTAGTTGCTAGGTATTAGCCCTTCTCTGCCATCTAATTCAGCCCTGTACCAATTCATATCGTCCTCCATATTAAGTATCTGGAAGAGCAAATTTTCTAGAAAGAACCTGTCACATCACATTACGAAATAGCATAATGACAAGAAAACAGAACGAACGCTTACTTTAAGGACTTGATTCTTTTTAAAACTGAGCTCATCATCAGCAGATGCTGTGAAATCGTGTTTTGCTATAGCCTCCATGATCAAAATTAGGCACTTCACTGAAATGTCACCGATTACCAAAATAACTCACAAAGTATGCAATGTCTTAGTACTACTTAGGGTCAGGGTAATAAAGTAATCATAATGCATGTATTTTGTTATAGATTTAACAAAAATTACAATGTTTTAAATGCAAATAGGAAAAATTTCTTTCAATCTCAGTACACACATCAGTCACATCACCATTTCACAGAGAAAAAAAAAAACTAAAGAATAGTGTTGCAATGTAACATTAATACTTTGTATGATTACATATGAAAAATACGTAAATTGCAACACACGGAGAATCATAGATATCGTAGAAATTTGTTGATAATGACAGTAATAATATAGATAATACAGTGGCTCACCAAACTGATTATGAGAAGTGCGATGGAAGTAGATAAATATTATACACAGGAGTATACTGGGCGAACATTAGGGGAATTTTGACAAGGCCACATATATATTTATTGTTATACATTTTAAACAAACACGCGTTTATTCAGTTTTTTTTTTTCATGAATACAATGATGGATGATAATACGAGGATGGTTTGAAAAATTCGCGGTCTCAGCAAGAAAACTATATAAAATTTAAACAAAAGTATATTTTATTTTTCCGCGTAATCTCCACTTATCTCAATGTACTTCTTCTATCTGGTTTTCAACGCCTATATGCCAGTCATAAAAAAGTTTCTTTAAGGCCTTTAAAAAAGTCACCCACCGCAGCTTCGACCTCCTCATTTGATGAAAATTTTTGACCTCTAAGGTGTTTTTTTAGGTTTGGGAATAAATAAAAGTCCGAAGGTGCCAAATCAGGGAAATAGGCGGGATATGGTAGTAATTTAAAGCCACAATCACGAATTTGAGCCATAGATTCAACAGAGGTGTGAACACCTGCATTATCCTGATGGAACAATACTTTCTTGCTGAGTAATCCTGGCCTTTTTTCTGTGGTTGTTTTACGCAAACGATGTAAAAAGATGCAGTAATAAGCCGAGTTTTTAGGGTCACCTTTTGTAAGATAGTCTACCATGATGACACCCTTAGCATCCCAAAAAACTGACGCCATCACCTTGCCAGCTGTCAAAATAGCTTTGGCTGTTTTTGGAATCGGTTCATCAGGTTTTTTCCAATGCTTGGATTTCTGTTTGGACTCTGGGGTATAGTGGTGTACCCAGTTTCCATCGATTGTCACAAATCTGGCCAAAAAATCTTGTGGATCAGCCTCAAACATTTCCAAACAGTCGCAAGAAATCGTGTGCCGTATTCGTTTTTGTACAACTGAAAACAATCTGGATACCCACCGCGCAGAAACCTTAGAAAATCCAAGTTCATTGACTACGATGTTTTGTGTTCATTCATACGAAATGCTAATAGTGTCTGCAATCTCTCTGATGATCAATCTCCGATCTGCCAATATCCGATCACAGATTTTCTATGTTTTCTTCAGTCGTAGACGTCGTAGGCCGGCCGGAGCGAGGGTTATCTTCAATACTCTCTTGTCCGCCTTTAAATTCTGTAATCTACTTTTTCACAATCGTATACGACGGAGCAGATTCCCCCAATGTTGTTGAAATATCTTTGTGAATCTCTTTTGGAGTTAGCTTTTTTTAAACAGGTATTTGATGACCGCACGTTGCTCAATTTTCTCCATTCTTTAAAAACGCTGCACTTAGGCTCACAAAGTTGTCTAATTTAAAAACAGATAATGCTATTGCGATAGAATTTTACAATGAGACAACCAGAGAGTAAGCATGTTTGTTTTATCTAATATACCATTATTGTGTATAAAACTGTTATTGCTATTTATTGAAATATCTATATAAACTTTGACTATATTCTTAGAATTTTTATTGTCAGACCAAAAATTGAAATCAATTTTATATTCAATATAAAATTTCTACAGAAATACTTTCTGCATGAAATTAGTATTTAAAAAAAAAAAAAAAAAAACCGTAAAACTCAATTCATCGATTTTTTTTATTTATTATTGTACACCAACAGGCTGTCTACAGTTATTTGTTTGATGAACATACAACACAAAGTTTTACTGAAACACTTTATAGAGACGCGTAATTTATATTCTTTTGTGAAAAACTAGAATTATCACAAAATATCACATAATAAATAGTTAATAATCAATAAAATTTTCACTAATGATTATTACATACAAAGTGTCTGCAAAGAGCTAAGGTTCGATATACAGCATAATGTTATGACTGAATGACATATTATGTCATATTGAACTCTTCATAGGTACTATCCTTAGGTATTATCTCTAACCAATTTTTTGTGCATAGTAATCGAATTGCTAAATATATCAACATTAGAGAATTAGTGTAAACACGAAATACGAATGTATTTTCAATACATTTTGGTCTTTAAAGAATATACACTAAATAGTGGTAATTTATTGTAAATTATTATTCATTTATTTTCGTTTTGTTAATCTGGGTTACTTGAATAATTTGTTTTAAGCAATATTAAAAACAAAAGAGAGAATAAAAATATTTTTTTAACAATTTAAATAAAAAAAATTGAACTTTTTTTGAACGACTATTAATTAATGGTGAAACGTTTTTTTTTTATTATATTATATAAGAGCAGTACACTTAAATTTTACATGGTTTAGAAATCTAGTGTGTCTGTAAAATATCTGTATTTTGTCAATTCATCCACCCTCTTCTGTTTTTACGTTTAAGTGAAATTATAACAGATAAACATTTTAGGGTTATTTTAAGGTTTATAACAATTTAGAGATCTTTTAAGCTTTTTATGTTTTATGTTCTAAAAGCTTAACTCGCCAAACCAAGCGTGGCGACTAGTGGCAAAACTCCCCTTATGGGGAAGACATGTTCAGCAATAGATAGTTAATCGCCAACGTAATAATAAAAATTAAAATAACAATTTAATCAAAGCAAGTATTATGTTTGTTAAATTTTATTTTATTCAATGTTTTTGTAAATATATCTGTGATTTGCATTTCTGTTGGGCAATAAACATTGCTAAATTTGTCATTTTGATACAATTACTGAATGTAATGATAACGAATGTCCATGTGTTTGGACCTTTTATTAAACACAACGATTTTAATTAGCGCAACAGCATTTTGGTTGTCAATGTAGAATAAAATTTTTATATCAATATTCAGATCTTTAAGAAGACATTTTATAAACATAGCTTCTTTGCAACATTCAGCTGCAGATATAAATTCTGCTTTCGTAGAAGACAACAGAATAAATGGCTATACTCTGAAGTACCATTTTTTTTTTTATTTTTATACTCAACTTTTAAAGTAAATTTTATTTTTTACTATATTTTACTTATGTTTAGATAAGCAAAAATAGCCCATAACATGTGATTCTATGCTATCAAATAATAAAACAATTATTTTTGTACCATTGTATATTAGATAACATTTTATAATATAGTAACAGCTACTATAAATAATATTTTGTTAATTTTAAATTTTGATGTAATTTATATATATTTTAATAGCAATTTTATAAATAAAAATTAATAGTAGTTACATTTCCTCACAAATTTTTAATATATTTATATATATTTATTCAGAAATTGATTATAAGATTTAAAATTATATTAAATTAAAATTTTTTTCGATGTCACTGATTCAACTAGTTGATAATATTTTAAGACGCGGGTAACTATCTTAATCTACGGTAACGTTTCTTTGTTCTACTGTCACTGTCAGATTGTATGACAACCTGATTGCGTTGACACATTCCTATTTCTTTTAGTCCATTTCTCTCCCAGTGGCATTACACGCGTAAGTTTATTTTATTTAATCTATTTAGTTTTTATAAATCCTTGTTTTTATAAATTTACAATTATGATCATTAATTTGTTAATGCCCTATATTTTGTGTGTCTATTAATATTTGCATTTCTTATCCACTTTAATTATTGGAACCGGTGATTGTTTATTCCAGGTTTAATCGTAACTCAAATAAACGCGACGATGTCGGGAGGATTAGATATATTGGCCCTCAATGAGGAGGATGTCACTAAAATGCTGGCGGCAACTACTCATCTGGGCTCTGAAAATGTCAACTTTCAGGTAAGTCGCATGGACAATGTTTCCTAACCTATTATTACCTTTTATGTAAGTAAATAATGCTTTTATGATGAAAAGAGAATCCGTTCCAAATAAAAATGATCTGATTTAATTGTGACGATCAATTCTCCCAACTGATACATTTATTGTTACATTTAGGATGATTATATTATTGTTTGACAATTATTATTAAAGAATGTTCTATTTTAGATGGAGACATATGTGTATAAACGGCGTACAGATGGCACTCATGTAATCAACTTGCGTCGTACTTGGGAGAAACTTGTGTTGGCTGCCCGTGCTGTTGTTGCTATTGAAAACCCAGCTGATGTGTTCGTGATTTCATCACGGCCATTTGGTCAGCGTGCTGTCCTCAAATTTGCAGCACATACAGGTGCAACACCTATTGCTGGAAGATTCACTCCTGGTGCCTTTACTAACCAGGTTAATACATTATTTATTATATTTACCTATTATATTTTGTTTTATTGTGTGTTAGTAACATATTTTAGAGACAGGTTTTATTAAATTATTTTAATTATTAAATAACTTATTTCACTCATGTTTCTATCATTAAACAATTGTGTATGAATGGTTGTGTTTTGATTTGAAAGGTGAGATATGGCAGTCAAATTATATATAGTATAGTCTTAGTAAAATGATGACTAATAAACAAGTACTATGGGCATATGTCTATAGGTAATGTATTTACCAAGGTAAACTAATTTTCTATCAGTTGCACCATTTACTCTTATTTACCAATATAAGTTACATAAAATTGCTTATCTTTTAATGTAGATGGTGTTATGAATGATGACAAAATTAACTAAGGAACCACTGATTGCATTAAATGCAAACTGATTACAATAAGATCTGATTTAATAATCTTACAAAGTATATTTATTTGTATTTCTAAGGGGTATTTAATATATTTTTCTAATTAATTTTCAGATCCAAGCTGCTTTCCGAGAACCCCGTCTTCTTATTGTCTTGGATCCTGCTCAGGACCATCAGCCTATTACTGAGGCATCCTATGTTAATATTCCAGTTATAGCATTCTGCAACACTGACTCCCCCCTGCGATTTGTTGATATTGCCATTCCATGCAACACCAAGGTAAGTATTTTGATTCATTTTGTCTGATTGTGATGAATATTTTATGACACATTTAAATAATATAAAAAAAAGTTGTCAAAACTTAATGAATCTCAATTGTTATGATTTACTTCTATTTTTGTTTCTATTATATTTATTTAGAGCCCATGACACCTCTTTAAAATCAATGGTCAAGAAAAACTGCTAAAAGATAGTAATTTTAGTAAATGTATTTTTAATGTTTATGAAAAGATGACTAAAAAATTTGACTCTATTTGGTAAACATTTTAATTGACTTAGTCTGCATACTCTGGGTTTTTCCTCCAGATTTACATTTCCTAATTTTTAATAATGCATAGTTGATACACATCTTAGATCTACGATGGTAGCAAAAAAGAATATGACTTATCTGATTGTAAATGGTTACCATGGAATGTGGACCCATGTATCATCAAGGGAAGACACACTTTATATTTGGATGTTAATACTACATTTTTTTTATTACAGTCATCCCACTCCATTGGTCTGATGTGGTGGTTGCTAGCACGTGAGGTACTGAGGCTGCGTGGTGTTCTCCCACGTGACCAGCGCTGGGATGTTGTTGTTGACCTGTTCTTCTACCGTGACCCTGAAGAGAGTGAGAAGGAGGAACAACAGGCTAAGGAACAGGTCTGTTTTTGTCTATTTCAATAATAGCAGTGTATTGTATCTTGATCTGTTTGTAAATTATAATTTACAAATGAGCATGCTTTTGTTAACCAAAAAAATATTTAAAATATTTTATTAAGTTTGGAAATTTTTAATATGGAGGTGGTCCTAATTTTAATAGTTGGTTTCACTAGGAGTTGCACTTCAAATGCATGAAATTAAAAAATAATCTAATTTATTCAAAAATTAAACAAAAAGGAGGTGAATGATTGGATGGTCCACCTGATGGAAACAAATCAGTTCAGTGTTTGTAAGCTTTGTTAATGTTTATTGTAATATATGTATAGAGTTACTAAAAAAAAATATCTGTTGTCTATTACCTATAGTACAAACTCTGGCTGTTAACTTTCATTTTGAAATAGTTGAAATTTTTTAACTTTTTATTATATATGAATGATTTTAATTTATAGGCTGTTGTGGCTCCTAAGCCCGAAGTGGCTGCTGCTGTCCATGAGGATTGGAATGAGCCTGTTGAGCCTGTCACCTCATGGGCTGAAGATTCTGCTCCAGCTGCAGCAGCACCCGCATTCGGCGCCGCAGCAGCTCAGGAAGATTGGGCAGCACAGGTAAGCAGCTTACATTATTTTTATAATCATTTTCCATTTTATTGAATACCCTTTAATTTATTTTTTGTTTTAATTATCACCTCAATTTTTTTTTATTTTTAATTTTCATAAGTCTTTTTGTAAAAGCAAAGTGAAAGAAACATGTGTACTGTTTCTTATGCCATGTGATATCTGAGTAAAAATACAATATGTTACCATTCCATTTATATTAATATAAGCATGTTATATGAGGTGACTATAGAAACAATACAACTGTAAAAGTTTAAGAAATAACTTTGTTGATTTCTACGACATTCTGTATGTACCAACAAGATTAATATTTCAAAAAATTTTGAATTTTCGTTTTTAACATAATTGTTTTTTTTTTTTTAATAGGATGAAGCTAAGAGTTTTTAAATAAACAAAAATTTTTTTTATAGGTTCAAGACGAGTGGGGATCAGCTGCACCACCGCCTGCCGCTGCCACACCCTCATGGGGGGGTTCTGCACAAGATTGGAGCGCGGCTTAAATGTATCGACTAATACAGTCTAAAATATATAATGTAGTTTTATTTACTACTATGAAGCTCTACATATTTATACTATTTATATTGTTAATGAATTCACATTCATTAACAATAATATGTCAAATTCATTAAAAATTCTCATTTATTTGATACGCGATTTCACAAAATGTGCTTCTAAGGACAGGACTATGGTATAAGTATCAATATTCACATCTAATAGACTATTGGTAGTGTGTGTACCTTAGACTAGTTGTGTCAACTCTACTTTATATGTCATTGCATGACATATAGAAAAATTTAAGTATTTGATAACTTCATTTAAATTATTACCACCACCAATCCGTCCTAAACGCTCCTGTCAAGTTCAGTCCAGGATTCTCGACCTACCTTTGTGTAGAACACATTTTATGGGCAACTCTTTCTCGTATCGAGCTGCCCAATTATGGAACAAACTCCCTTCCCACATACAAGAGAGCCCTTCAATTACCTCTTTCAAGAAAAGGTTGAAGTTACATTTTCTTTCCTTTGAGTCATAATTTATTTATTTTTATAATTGAACTGTCAAACTTTGAAATCATTGAACTAAATTTCTATTCTAGGTAGTATATTCATTTATTTTAACATCCACTGTATAAGTAAGTAGATATTATATTTATTTATAGTATATGTATTTATGTAATATTTTATTATGTATCTTAATATTTTATTTAACTGTATATTTGTTTATGTATTCTAAATATTAATAGTTGTAGCACTTCAGCTGCCCGCTAGCAACATGTTTTCTAACTGCATTGGGTTGACTGGAAGAGATCTCTGTCAGAGATAAGTCCACCCTTGCTCACAATATTTATAAATGCATTAACATTGTAATTTACAAGTGCAATAAAGAATATATATAAATGTACAGATTTATAAAATTAGGTATTACGATTTATAGTTTATATCGGTACTTGTTATGTATTGATGTGTTTTTTGGATTATCACGTGATCATAATTTTTTTTAAAAGAGCATTCCAAAAATCTTGTACACATATTTATTAACAGTATTACAAATGCTTAGGTTCAATACTATATACATGTATTCTATAGAGGCAGGTATAGGTAGGGTTTCCTTGGTTGGAGAGCACTCTAAATACTAGGTGTTTTAATGGGACATTTTTATTTGCGGTTTGATAATACTGTTTAGCTGGTCCTTTCTTATAATATTGTCCGTGAATTGCAATTATCCACGTGCCATTTTCAAGGATACCCTGAAATGTTACTTTTTATTAAAATCATCTTTGATAGTGGGAGAATTTACATATTTACAGTTACACGCTAGTCCTCCTATTACTAGCAACTCCTTGTTCTCTGGGAAATATTGAGGTGATTTTATAAAAAAGCGATAATTTTTGGGACTTTCGCCAAATTTAATATACTTTTCTGACCATGAGTACGAACATCACGTTTTAAACGTGTTAGAATATATATCTGTTACTGTAAAACCCGAATTCGGTAAATCTAGAATTTTCTTTTTTTTTTTTGTCACCCATAAAAAAAAGGTCGCCTATAGACAAACAGTACCATGGACATAAGAGTATATTGTTTTTTTTTTTTGATAGGTGAAAATGGTATGGTAATCTCGCCTGCGCTAACGGGATACGCTGGCGGAGTACCAGTGAAGGGTGATAGATGAGAATGAAAACAGGCCATTTAGCCAATCATGATGAATTCATCAGGAATTAACCATAATAGTTTCCAAAGAGAACCGCGAGAAGGTCGACCTGGCTGGGTATATTGCTAGCAATGGGATTCTCAGTCTCTATTACTAACAATCTTTTTCCCTCTAGAATTTTCTATGTTTACATCAGAGGAGTGGCAAGTGTTAAAAAATAGTGCATGATGCTCGTACTCGTGATTAGGTTAGGTCTTAGATTATATAGATATATAGCATCGAGTCTTAAAAATGTCAAAAATTTTTTTGTCAGCTAATTGGCAAATTAGCTAATTCATTTTATTTTATCTTGATGTATCTATATGTAATTATTTAATAAATAAAATGTGTTTTTACGTATTAAAAAAATACAAAACTTATAAAACTAAATAAATATAGTCATTATAAACGAAACACTTATGGACTACTTATCATGTTAAATTGTATGAAAAAGTTGACCCGCTTTTCTCGAAGCATTTGTATGGAGGCCATCTATATAATCTAAGGGTTAGGTTTGGTTTTGGTGAAAGATCCAAATTTTTTTTTATATAATCTTCACATTTACTAACTTGTGTTGGTAAAATCTAATAGTTATCACTGTGCCTGCTTTTACAGTAACATATATAAGGATTATTTAATACATCTGTATTTGCTAGGGATCGTGTGATTACAAGTTTTATGTTTACTAACTGTTAAAAAAAAAATAGATCATAGTGGAGCCTACACTTTTGACTACATTATATTTATTTACCAAGTCCGTGCTAGTCCAAGGTTAAAATATATTGACATCTTATATATATTTGCCACTATTATAAATATCTATTATTCCTTATGTATATACTTACATAAACCATAAATTCTTTGGGTGCACTTTGAGCAGTGTCTGGTTGCACGTGTTCTATGCTTATACATTGAATCAGTCGCTGTTCCACCAATTCGATATTGATTTCACCACGTGAGCCTCTATCAACAAAAGAATTCACTTCGTTACTCTATTCTACTATATTTAAAACTGATTAATATTACTTAATCAGAATTAACTACCTAACTTAATACTATAAATATATATATGACTAGTCGGAGGGTAGTTCGGGCATAGGGAAATCTGTCAGGTCAACCTCAATGCGGTTTCCCCTGGAAACCATCGTGATTAATTTTTTTTTAATCTGTCAATGGCCCTCCTGACCTAGTTTCATCTTCACCTATTACCACTCACTAGGGCCTCACTAGCATATACTTACATCGAAGGTGGAGGAAACATTCCCTTAGCATCTACTAAGAACTAGTCAGGTTGACATTCACGTGTTTAATTCCTGTTGAATTTGTCATAATGGGCCAAATGCTTTGACTTCCTCTCACTTATTATCTTTTATTGATAACCCTTAGTGTATAGCAACAGCGGAAGAGGATCCTATAAAAAGTGGATATTAATATCCTTCATCTTGTACAAAGGAAGACCTTAATAAAGCAACCAACTGTGCTGTAGAAGTTGCTAAGTTTTGGTCCAAATATATTTAGGTAGCCTAATAATATCTACCATATTTCATCACTTTCATAGATAATATTCTTCACTAGCTTTTTTCCCGCTACTTTGTATACGTGGATATTTAAGTTGGCAAACGAAATTCTAAAATTCACGTGTACTTAACTTCGCGATAGAAAACTACTGAAATCGCATTGTACGCGACCATTTAGGTTCTAGCGTGTGAGAATAAATTCCCTGTCGATTTTATTATATTAGAAAGATAAGAAGTAAGATTACAATATTACAGACATCGTAATTCACACGAGCAAAGTCGAAGTATACAGCTAGGTATTTATAAGATTTTTTTCCGAGATATTACATAGTTAATTATGGAGACCAAAAAAAAAAAGTATGAGAGCCAAATTAATAATTTTTAGAATTGTGATTCGTCACAAGAAATGAAATGAGCTTCTAACGAAATTTTATAATGAAAGTCTTACGTCAGCTTATTAGTATTATTTCACAGAAAAAACGTTGTGCATAAAGGAGCTTAAACCGTCTTATAAAGCAAAATAAGAATTTAATTATTTAATGTCTCACGTGAGAGGAGGTGGATCCTGCTACACTCCGCCAAGGGGGCAACGGGGGGTCAAAAAAAAAAACGTAGCCCACATAAACTACCGTATCTTCTGGGACATTGATTGTTTTTAGAATAGGTGCTTTCAAGACTAAGTTTGGATTATGTGTGTTTTGATGGGGAGGACGTTAGCAACGTCGGTAATAGTTCTAAGAAAACATTAATTTGTATTCTCGAATACTGTGATGTGTTATTTGACATCAATAGTCCTAACATTTGCTGACATTTAGTATATATACGATCTAAATACGTGTATTAAATGCCATGTGTAATAAAAAGGGATTCTATATTTAGGTATGGCAGATTAGTTGAGCGAGTCTGCTGATCGATTGAATATTACATTTTATAAATATTGTAATAAAAGGTTGTTAGTTTTATTGAGTATCGTGTGTCTCGCTATGTCTTCACTTTCTGCGTCGATTTTGATGATTGTTTTGCAATCATTGTTCTTGTGTTGGTTTCATAATAATTTTAACAAAATTAGTGTTTTTTTTGTGGAATAAAATTTCAAATGATAATGTTATTCAGATAGTTTCTAAATGGAAGTATGATATCAAATGTATTTTTTTACATATTAAATTTTAGAAATTTAAAATTAAAAAATAACTGCTGAACAATTTTTATTTTTACTAATTAAGGCAGTAAGTCTTATATTGAAAATGTGAAAGGAGGTTTGTTTATTTATAAATTACTAATTGTTACCCGCGATTTTCTTCGCGTGACCAGAATATGTTAGACCAAGGCAAAAGCAGCCTAAAGTTTTTCTCTATCCCAAATATTACGCAATATACTAAAATGACGATTGTGTAAATTGTAGAGGGGTGAAGAGGTAACAAATGCATTGCAAGGAGTTAGTGGATATCGGTGGTTCAGACGGGTTCCTTAAGGCAGTCTATGGTGGAGGCTTATGTTCATCAGTGGATAGATAACGGCTGATATGATGGTGACGAAGAAGTAATAAACAAATAAACGAACTAACTCACTGTAATATTTAACGACGTCTTGGTGACTATCGTTGTTTGGTTTATACGAAAAAAATATGAGTATTTGGGTTACACTAGATAAATTGCATTGATAGATTATTTTTATATAAAAGAACCCGAGTCTCGTGATCGACGTTACAGGTAAAAACTAGTATCTATATGAATATCTCTTTGAGTATTGAATCTTTTACCTGAAAGGCCAACAATCGGCCGGTGTCGGCTTCCGCAATGAAAGTACTGTGTCGGGTGGTGGCGCGGCTCGCCACAGAGGCACTACCCCCCATAGTGCTAAGCGGCCTCCCCATTCTATAGTGTCTCTACCCTTTGTGACCGATGCATCTGCTATGTGCCCTTTGTCTACGGCTTTTCTGTTATCTGCAAATCAGATAAGGAAGCGTACAATATGAATATGATTTCCCGTTGTACCTACTTATATGTAAATATTTGCTATTTATATAAATGATGAAATTTATAAAAATATCTCTGGACATAGTGCACAGTAACTACAATAGTTCCAAAATTAAACAGAGACGTGCTATGGGAACTAGACAACTGATAGGCATATATATTTTTTATAAATATACATACATATATAGGAAAACAGTATTCATAGTTACTTTTTTATAAATGCATATTGATGGCGCTGCGTAATATATTCTGTGGTATTATTAACTATTAACTTTTGGCCGCGACTTCGTCCACGTGATTGGGATACGTTTACGGATCGGGATAATAAGTAATCTATATATTTTGTCCATCCCATGTAGTACATGTATACCAAATTTAATAGTAATTGGTCAAGCTGTTAAGGCGTTATAAAGTAACAAATAAATAAACTAGCTTTTACATTTATAATATTAGTAAGGATTAAAAACCCTCGTTTGATTGCATGGCTGCTTTTCGGTTTGAAGGATGGGATATAGCCATAGGTCTATTTACATCATATAGGAGTAAATTATAAGGTGCGTGGGGCATATCATCACATCACCGGAATGGTAACACAAGAGAAGTATTTTTTTTAATGGATGATAATGCAATGGAATTCTTGTATACGTTAAAGGTATACGCTGGCGGGGCACCTGTGGGGGATGATAGATGAGAATGAAAAAGCAGGTCAGTTAGCCCATCGTGATAAATACATCTGAAATTCAGCACGATTATTTCTAGGGGAGACCATGTAGAGGTCGACTTAACAAGGTATATTGCTAGCAATGGGACTGATAGTTCGCATACTAACAATCTCTTCCTCACCTGGTCAATGGTTACAGACAGTACTTTTAATTCTTAATGTTATGTATGAGTAGTACTTACCATTGTCTTAGTATAATGTATTTATGTACTAATGTAGTATTTATCCTATATATATTGTTTTGAATAAATAAATAAAAAAACTCTATTATAAATCGCCTAGATGACTGGAATTGTATTATTTTGTTAGTATTTACTCGTAGTATTCGTGTTTCATCGTTTCCAAAAATTCGGCGACAATTTCATAGTAGGTGGGTGGTGCACAAGCAGAATAAAGAATGCATAATATAGATTGTATATTATATTAATGGAATCAGTTCAGTAGTCAGAGATATTTTTTTTACATATTAATAAATAAATATTAGATAACTTTTTATAATATGTATTAAATATAAAATTAGGTATTACAGCATATTCGATTGCTGAACGAAAGAGTAGGCGTATGATGGATTCTTCATACGCCTACTCCTCCGTTCTTCCTTGTAATAAAACTCGAATCTCAAATTAATCATCCACGTAATATCTTTTGTCGATCAATTTACTTGGGATGGTGAAATGCTTTTTTCTGTTTAAAAAACCAGAGAACATCTAAGGCCCTGTTAATAAATTGTCTTCAAGATCTATTTTGACAGTTTATTAGCTGAATTGCATTTACATCGAAATCACGATCTTAAGACTCGTTAATTAGATAATATGAATATTAAGAGTAATAGTAACTTGTTATCAGGCATTCTTATACGAATCTCGCATAAATGTCACACTTAAGCGAATGACGACCAATTGATTGCTTTTCGTGGAAATTTTATGTAAGTGAAAATATCTACATAAAATTTCAACGAAATTGCATCTAATACTTACTGAGAGCAAAACAGAAATAGATAACTTCGGATTTGTACGCCTTTAGGCATTATTTCAATTGTAATCTATGTCTCATAAATATTTTATTAAAGTTTTTAAGGTAGGTATAGTAGACTGTTACAAATAAAATAAGCTTAATCGCAATATCGATACTAGATAAAGTTTTATAATAAAAGAAAAGAAAGTGATTTTATTTGTTTGTTCGTTAACGCTTTGCTTCTTAATCGTTGTGAAATTTATATATGTTGGTACTTCTAGTAGGTATTTTGTATGGGAAAGGACATAGGCTTTTTATCCCGCTCCATCAACATGGGTCCCGCGGACAGTGTAGCGGGCACGGTATGGACATAAATACAAATATAACTAATTTCACAAAGAATGTTTAACCCATTTCGTAAAGAAAATTCGACTCTCCTAAATGATTTATGTTTATTAAAGCTCTTTCATAGATGTAAAGAAATTTTTTATGCGAAGATAATGCAATGGTTATCCGCCAGCGCTATCGGTATAAGTTGGCGAGGCACCGGTGAGAATGAAGTCAGATTCGTTAGATTATCGTGACAAATTTATCAGGAATTGATCACGATGGTTTCCAGAGGTAATTATCCGGTAGTGGACTTGATATTGCTAACAATAAGGCTGTAAACTCCATTACAAAGGATCCCTTTCCTCCTGATACATCAGAAAGTTAGTAGGCGATGCCTAATGTATCAATGGACATTACAAAATAAATTTGTTTAACCCATAGATACTTCATTCGTTGTGTACTAAGGTGATATGCTACTTCTGTTATGTATTGAATTAATTTGTCCCTAGTTTCTATTAGTTTCGAAACATTTTTATCAATCCTTTGATACATCTAGATATATACCTAGAAGAATTTGGCTTGTTTAAAAACTATAAATCCTAGACTAGAAATATCGACCAGACTGCCGAACAAAATATATGCCTTTAAATTATGTGTCTGGATGTAGCGTGGTTTCCTGTTTATGGGCAGTTCTCCGGGGCTGATAAAATACGACAGTCTGTCTCAGAACGCCTAGCATTATTCTGTCATATGTATTTTATGGAATTACATAATAATGGCCATTATGTTCTTTTTTAATTTCAAAATTCAAGCACTAGTTTCGAATTAATTAGTTTTGTCAATGGTTTTTACTATCATTATCTTTTTCTTAATTTATCATTACTTATCAATTTTTTTTTGTAACTAACTCTTTGGTTACGAAATAAAATTGACACATAATTTTAATTTCATTTTTAGTTTCTCTGTTCAGTTGACAACGGTTGACAGGCAGAGATCTAGTCTATGATTTTAATTTAAACGTAAATTCAATGTATAAATAAAATAATATATATAAAACTAATACTTAATAGACAAACGCAAAAAAAAATTAGGTGTGTATGTAACAATTAGATATTGTTTAAAATCTCATTTAAGATGTTGTAATAAGATCCTAAAGTTCTAAAAAGCGATACAATTACTTGAATGTTGATAAAAGTAATATGTAATATATAAATAGTAATAATTAAATTACAATTTGTTTTACTCATTTGGGTCAAATTTAACTCTCTAATAAAATTACTATCAAGTAAATTTATTTTCAGTAATCACGTTAATATTACATTACTATATACTAGCTTTTTACTTGCTACTACGTACGCATGGATAGCACATTGAGATAAACATACACCAGATTTCACGTTAGAACACAACTGTGAAAACCGCATTCAATTTGATGCGATAATTTTTACCTGATGCCAGAACAAACATACAGACAGACAGAAAAAAATTCTAAGAACTATTATTACGGCATATATTGGTCTTATTAAAATATTTTATTTATTTTTTCTTAAGTATCTCCCATGTACAGACATCGTACAATCTTATTATATTGGTAAAATTATGAGAAATTTGATAATTAATGATACTTGTTAAAATTACATTTAATCATGTTTAATTATAATTAATATCAGATGAAGCAATAAATTATGGGAATGATTATATTAAACATCTTAAAATTTATACTTTTATATGGAATTTGGTATTGGATTTATAATTATGTTTATTATTATAACCTAAGATTACTATCTATATATACGTTATGTACGCAGGTACTGTATTCGAATAACTCTACATTTACAAAGATCGATCGATAGAGAGTGGCAATAGAATTTCATTTGCGTTCTATTGATTAATAAAGTCTGAACAAATATGTGTCCAAATCTATCATAAGAGGGGAAAAGGGACAACCCTTTAACAATAGAAATAGGGCCCAAAATATTTTGATTCAGAACAGGTAGTTATTTTTAAACAAAGAAAAAGTATAATTTCAAATGTGGCTCCACTACATCGGATTAAACTTTATTGATTTGTAAAAGAATTGTAAAATCAGTTCAGAATTAGTGTGTAAATTGCATAATATAGGAAAAAATAAATTTAAAAACTTCAGATGAATTCAGAACCTCCTTCTTTTTGATATGAATAAAAAGGTATTACTTATAATGCTATCAATATTTATGACATCCAATTTATCAATAAATTATATTTAAATTTAGTATAAAACTAAGAACAAGGAATACAATCTTTGGTATAAACCAAAGGTATAAACAAAGAAAAACAATTAAGTCATACCTATTTTGATAGCGTACGGCATCATCTCTCTTCGAACCCGGAGTGTGCGACTGTAATTATAAATTAAAACATTACTGATACTATGTAAATAATATTGTATTTATTGTATTATTGGGTAGTTAGAGGGGTTTGTTGACTTGCCGTTTTGAGAAATGTAATAGTCAAAATGAATACATTTCAAAGAATATTTAGATTATAAAATGGTAGAGAGCGTCTACTGATTTATTATAGGTACATACATATATCTATCTGTGTATATATATATATATATATATATATATATATATATATATATATATATATATATATATATATATATATATATATATATATATATAATGTATAATAATACTATAAAGTTATATACACTACTATAATATTATGGTAGATGTCATGTACAGCTGAATACATGTGAGCTGAATCTATTTTTTCCGCTTGAAAGAACACCAATATTTTTATAAAATCGTCTTTCAGAAAAGCTTTCGTTTTTAGGGTCAAAAATACAAAGGGACTCCAGAAACAAAATTAGTTATGCGGTCCAGTTTTTAACCACAATTATGGCCAAAAATAAGAAATCTATGTGTCTAATTCGTATGATAAATGCAATAAAGGTCGTTTTATGTCATGCATATTTATGTACGGAACTCTCGAAGTGTGAGTTCAACTTGTAGTTTTTTCCTAAGTGAATATACGACGAGGACGTAGGAAAGTACTTACGCTGTTTGAGTTTCACCCTCTGGTCATGCAATTACTACCAAAATTCAGTGTTTTCGTTAAGTTTCTTTATATGAGTATGTTTAGGTATGTGTATGTGATTATTCAAATAATTTACTTACATAATTTTCATGATTGTACATGTTTTATCTATATACTGATGGAATAGAAATGATTTTATTTATTGAAAAGCATAATCTCTACTATTTCAGCCGGTTGCTCAGTTTTGAATATAAGTATATAGTAGTAGGTAGTATAATGGAAGATAATGGACATCAGTGTGTTATTTTCTGTTTTAATCGAGCGAAAACGGTCTGTAGCGCTGGATTTTAAGCTAAATTTTAATACAAACTTCTACAAGATTGATGTCGACAAAAGTTTAGATTGATTCAAAAGTGCATTAGAGGTGGTAGTTTCGTAATAGATGATCGTGCAAATGTGGACTGTCATTAAACAGTTTTTGAACAATTTTTTTCACATAGATACTAAGATTGGGGTATTTTTACTATGAAGCAGTTGTTTGCATGGCTGTGTTTCGGTTTGAAGGGTGGGATATGGCAGGAATAATACCTGAGTCCTCAGAAACAGCAACGCATGATACTGCTCATGTCTATAGGTGATGGTTACCACTGCCATTATAAGTTGCATAAAAAAACTTCGGTATTTATTTACATCTATGGTTGTACTATTAGTATAATGTTATCTATGATACTGATGACTATGATGATATTTCAATGATGAACATAAGTCGGGTAGTTAAGCGCTTTAGTCAATTATTTCCGTTGTAATGAACATAACACTCAACTTGCTCACTCCTTGCCGAACATGTTTGAATTAAACGTGCAAGGATTATGTCCCGTCACCACAGAGTTCATTGAAAATTTAAATTGACACACAGAATTTTGGTATTGGCCAGATTGGAGCATCTGGGCACAGTATATTAAGAGCACAAAGTATGTGGTCATACTTAAATTAAATGTATTAATATAGTATTTAGATTAACATTGTTATAAAGTATTTAATAGTAATCGATTTTCTTCAATAACTACTTATAATTTACCTACTACTGTTATTACAAATTATAAAGGTGTCGTCCTCTGGTATCAAGACTCTATACCTCCTGTAGTATCCGAAACTCTTTACAAATACTGGTTTGTTTTCTATCATTGACTTAAGATTGTGACATTCCCTTTCTAACTACTATTGTCTATAATACCATTATATCGTTATTTTTAGTTAAATTAAACCAATATTTCCCTATGGTCTATATCGTTTTGTACCACCTCCTTCGTTATACACGTTGGATTCTGATGCGGCTTACTGCCATACATGACAATATTTTTTAAATAATTCAAATACTGTTTTTGCTCTTGTTCAAATCTTAATTTGAATTTGAAATTTTGAGTCTGATTCGGATTTTTTTTGGGAACCCCAGATTGTTTAACAAGAGTTTGTCTGATTTACTTGTAACTGCTTTTACAATTTTTTTACCAATATCCAGTATTATTAAATAATAATAAAATATTAAATATTGTGAAATATTCACCATATTATTAATCAAAAATTTATATAATTTATTAGGTGTGAGTTTTGTTCTAGAAACTGTTGCATGTTTATAAACATTTCGCACGATCGCGTGATACTTAATTTTGACAAGTTTGCACATGCAATGTTGTGTAATGTTTTGAAAAATATCGTATTAAGCGTTTCATATACTTTACTAATGACAACTAAGCATTTACCAACAAATAATACTTGTTTCAAACATTAAAAATAAATACCTTAGAGTTTTTTGGGTTCGGTACAGCTCCACAGCTAAATATCTCATCTTCCTGCAGCATTCCTCATCGACTAAAATGGAGTCTTCAGTCGCGGCTGAATAAATTATAAGTTATGTTTTACTAGCGTTCTGCGCTATAGCGGTTACCGCAGTTTTTTTTAATACCAATTCACCTACTTGAAATGTCGTATCATTATAACTTATAGCATGTGCCATGTATATGATATATTTATGACTATTCGAGCTCTAGTTTTTGTAAATAAGTCTCACAATGTAAAGACATGTCATTATTCATTTGTGGTTTAATAAATTATTTAAATACTTGTCTGTTAAAAAGTAAGTTTATGCCAATATGAAAAGATCGTATAATTTTGTTTTATATACAACTTAGAAAAGCTCACAAGCTGACGGCCCACCTGATGGAAAGTGTTAACTGTCGCCTATAGACATGAATAGTAACATGGATATAACAGAATATACTGTTTCACCCATGATGCGTTGCCATTCTTATGGACTTAGGTATTATGCCTCTGTATTACAATATACCTAAAATGTTTTTCTTTTTTATATATGTTTTAGGATTCCATTCTAAAGCGATGAACATTAGGTATTACTTTGTAGGTGTTTAATGGCTGCTTTAAAAAGGAATGTTATAAATTTTAAATTTGGTATAGCACCTATAGAATATATAGAACAGGCTAAAATTTATAAGAACAGGAATATTTTTCTAGTCATTGGATATTGAATTTTGAACTATATCTGGATGTGGGGATGGATACTCGTACTTACTATGGTGATTAGATGTCATATTGATTTGTTTTTCCATAACTCAAAATTAAAATTTTCATTTTTCAATGTATAGTTTAGAATTAAAATATACAAAACTTTCGATACGTAAACCTATCTTGCGCTTGACCTGCTAACTTGAGTGCAATGAAATATGCAATCTCTTTTAATTTTAGGCTGGGTAGGGTTTTTGTAACTTTTTATTTTAGGAATTTCTATTCTAAACATGAACATGACTAGAATAGCAGTTCTTAAAATAAAAGAGTTAGGTACTGATGGAAGTAATGGATTGATATTCATAGTTCACCTTAAAATATTAATAATAATATTTACTAAAGGCTGCTGTCTAATTTTTATTTTTTTATAATACTCTCAGGAGAAATAGTCAAAGGATGTAGTTACAATGTACAAGTACCTAATAATTTTAAATTCAGAAAACTGCTTATACTTATCAGTTATGCATGAATTCGTAAGTTTCGTCATTATTGAAAAAGAAATAGAGTAATATTAAAGTTTCAAATTGTTTCGTAGACTAGCTTGAACCTTTGTCATTTTAGATATCTACAATTTTATTAGCAAGAATATTTATATTATATGGTAGGGTTCACATTTACCTACGTCACTTTAATTAGAATGCAATTGTTAACCCCTATCACCTTAAAAACGTCTAATAAACCTACATTTGAGTGTTCCTTTTTTTGAGATCAATTCTTAATGTGAAAGAAAGTTACATAACAGGTGCAAGAATAATAATGTACTTGGATATTATCTATTCAATTGTACTTACTTAAGTATGTAATTTTTTCATTTGATATTAGTTGGGGTAACCAATTAAGTTGTGGAAGTTTGTTAACCATCCATAAAGATGCTGAAAAGAAATTACGAAAATAATACAAATATGCCATATATAACAATAATATATATAATTTTATAAATGTGCCAACCTAGACAAAGAGTAAACGAATCCACCAATTACGATAGACATATTTTCCTTACCGCACGCATGAGAAAGGATATCGTCATACGTTTCTGTATAGATTTATCTCATCCATACGTTACCAAAAACATATCGATGAATTAGGGGAGCGGGTTTTAGATTCAGAATTCCTTTTAGAATGTTATGAACAAAACTAAGTAAAAGGGTTTGGAGTTTCAATAAGTAATAAAATCCGCATCGAGGATATTCGCACAAGAACCAAAGTGACCTGTGTAGCCCGAAGGATCAGTAAGCAGCCGGTCGGTTACACAGTTCCAAGAATCGATAACTGGGAAAAAAGGTTCAGCCGTAGGCAGTGTAGAATGATCTTTTGAGTTCTACACTACATTTTGTGCGTTGCAGCATGGTGTGTTTGACAGCTGACATTTTGGCAGTTTTTGATGTAAACGATCTGTATTGATTAAGATATTTCGAGTTGGAATTAATGTGATACTTAATCCTACTTACTTGATTTATTAAATCAAATATTATTAATTAATTATATTATATTATTAATATGAAATGTTTTGATGAATGCGTATAAATTGTTTTCTAATCTGCTTCAATAGAATTTAATGAAAAGGTAACTAGACTTTGTTGAATTCTATTCGTAAATAGAATCAGTAACAAATCGAAGTAATAGATTTTTTACTTATACTATTATTGAAAATCAACAGATCGTCTTATAGCCGGATCAGTCGACTTTTGTTTACATTTACATTATCATCACACATTCATCAATCTCTAATTTTTTCCTATACTTTTTCCTAGTGATCTATCAGTAGCACCATGCTATAATGTGTGGAGTATAAAAAGAGACTCAACATTAAATGTGTTCCAGGAAGTCAATGGATGCACGTGGCTTAAGACTTTCTTATTATTTCATGTATGTACGATGTATATATACTAGATAACGGGAATTAAATAAATTTCCTGTTTCTAGTTTGAGGCGAGACGCTGCGGTGGAAGGATTATACTTACTCTGAAAAAGACTTCAGAGTGAAGTCGAAACAATGGTTAAATATTGAACATTTGAAACGACAAACAGTACAACCTCGTTTGGGGCTAAAGGGATTGTTAGTAATCTGGTTTAACTGATTCATTGAAAGCAATACACCCTATCAGGTTGACCTCCACGTGTTCCCCCTGGAAACCGTCGTGATTAATTCTAGTGGAATTCGTCACCATGGGCTAACCTGCTTTCGTCGTCACCTATCATCCTTCACTGGTGCTCCGCCAGCGTATACCGATAGCGCAGGCGGGGTTACCATTCCATTATCACCCATTAAAAAAAAAAAAAAACTCGTAGGTATAGTCACATTCACAATACATTCTGTGATATCCATGTTATTGTTTATTCTATAGTGACAGTTACCACTTTCCGACTGGTGGGCCGTCAGTATATTAATCATTCTAAGAAATAATTAATTAAATTTTCCGTTGTTTGCTTATATGTATACAAATCTATTACACATTAAAAACATGAAAATATACAAACCTATTACACATAAACAGATAACCGCTAACACGAGCGTTAAAAGATGTTTTCCGTTACTTTTGTGCTTTACCCTTTGTTTGCAACGCTTCCTCCGTTTACAGCCACACTTCAAGCTTTTGCTCTTATCTTCATAAAGATACTCCCATATGTTCTCCCGTAAAGGATACGAGGATCGTATTTCCCAAGACGGGGACGCAACTTTCCGTGGTTTCCTTTCGGCAACTTTTCCTGTGAATGGTCCAATTTGAAGTTAGTCGCAATATTGTGATCTATTCGTGTTCTTGTATAATTCAATACACATCTTGCATTTAGTTATGAAAATTATCGTCGAATTTAAAAGGAAGGAGGTTATTTTTTTATTTTAGGACACATAAAAAATATTATATGTATTTGCAATTTAACTCTATGACGAGTTCTTTAAAAATAATTAAATTCCTAATCCGAGAGACGGCAATAGGTTTTAATCAGAATTTTCTCGCAACAATAATACTTCTGTCTACCTCGTGTGGTTTTATAATTATGGTTGTAGCATATTTATTTTTATGTACACCTACTAGTACTAAATAATTATTTGTATTTTTTTTTATATTACGAAGGTGGCAAACAAGCGTACAGTCTGATAGTAAACGGTGACTATGTATGCTTGTAACACTAGGGATGTTACATGCGCGTTGCTGACCCTGAAGAAACTTTAATATACCCTTTTTGAAGAATCTTATACTGTAGTCTCTAGGGAAAACCTCGACAAGGAGCTTATTCCAGAGCTTGAGCGATCGCGAGAGAAAATTTCTTTCAAACTATACTGTATGTGACCATTTAGGTTTAAGCGTATGAGGATGAATCCTTGTCGATAGCGAGCAGCGCGATAATAAAAAGTGGTATAATAATTTTAGTATAAAAAATTTCAACTACTAAAATAACAAAGTACATTTTACACTTTTTAAATAATTATATGTTTTTGTGACATATAGATTTATTTTACAACTACGTATTTATTTCATAGTCATTTAGAATGAAATGATGTTATTACCTATAAATAATAAATTAAAATAAGTAAGCATTTTTCTATAGTCACTTCACTGACGTCATACTTACTGGTATATCTGGGTCGAATGTATTTAGAATTTTTTTATTGATTTAGCTAAATCAGAGAAAAATATATCGTATACCTACCTAACTTCGCTTGGACGGGCAAACAAATTAATCCGTATTAAGGTTACAGCTTATTGGCTATCGTGGCGTCCTGGCAACAGTTTGATATCCCGGTGTAAGTGATAATAGCTATACATATATAAATAAGTGTACTAAGCCGAAATAGGCGACGATTGCTTTGCGTAAATAACGTTTAAGATTAAAAGCATTTTGAGACATCGACTACTCTTTGAGGATAGCTGTTTATTTTAATGAATAGTGCCATTCTGCACTGTGTATACTTATCATCATCATTATCTCAGCTATTATCTGTCCACTGTAGAACATAGGTCCAGGCATGAGCAGCAGCGTCTCTTTTAAAACATCACCAATGCTTAATTTCGATTGCAAACCCGCCTGCCAAGCATGGCAACTGGCGAAATCGCTGAATAGGTTTTTGTTCAGTAGTTGACAGTTTACGGCTGATATGATGATGATGATGAGATGCTGGTATCATGGGTGAAACAGTATACTCTGTTATGTCCATGGTACTGCTCATATTTATAAGCGATGGTTACCACTTTACATCAGGTGGGCCGTCAGCTTGTTTGCCATTCTAAGTTGTATAAATAAAAAAAAAGATGTTTTGTCTCGATATGCCATTTATTTTATATGTTTTACTTATGAGACAAACTTCATAACAAAGTTGCGGCAAAAGCTAGTTACTAATATTTTTGTAAAGTCCTAATGTATCTAGCGGCTAACAAAATACGACGATTATTTTTTTACGTGATGTAATGTAAGTACGTCAAATGCAATAAAAATAATAAAAGCTATACGATGAAGATCAAGAGACGAGCGGCTTTTTCTCGACAGACACCGACATACGTAACTCATAAAAATGTTTGACATTAAGATCATTTGACTAAGGGTTGTTTCTGCTCTTGGCTTCGGATAAAAATTATTTGCGGTTTCATATTTATTTTTTATAAGTTATTTTTACTTACATTTATAAGTACATATAGCAAGTAGCGTTGATGAGTGAATCGATTTTTTAAAATTATTTTTATAGAGTTATAATCTATCGGATGACAGGTTACTCGTGTTAATCTAATGCTAATTTTGTTACATCGAAGTCATTTTTTTCTGTTTAAAAGCATTCAGACTCTAGCTAGATTTTTTTAATGCAAATTAAAATGGCAAACAAGCCGACGGCCAACCTGATTGAAAGTGGTAACCGTCGCATGAGCACAAAATACCATGGATATAATAGAAAATACTTTTCGCCCATGATAACTTCCATGCGTTGCCATTCCTGAGGACTACTTCTAGAATTCTACTTTAATTTTATTTTTTCTATACTATATACTAAATAATGTGGCCAAAGCGGCGGTATACAACTAGTATAATAAAAATGAGAGTGGGTCATGACCTGAATGCCCGAGGTTCATTAAGTCATTAATTTGATGCTTACGATTGATATTTGTGCAAGCAGCACAATTATTCACGGTATCGCAGGTGGTAACACGCTCCAATTGCATTATGCAAACTCTGTCGATGCAGTTTCTGTTTTTAGGTTAAACGATTAATTAAGATATTTGCTGATTATAACTTTTATGTATATAGAAATTATCTATTTTCTGTAATTCTGTTTTTGTCAATCTTCTAACTTTGTTTTCGCCATAAACTTTGTGTTGAATTGGCTGCATTTGACAAATATTTATATGCAAAGTAAATAATCATGTCTGTGAACTAAGCCGATGATTAAAGATTTTACTTAAAACTACGTGTAAATTTAATTTTAAAAATTTACAATATGAGGCCAATATATTTATTTTCAACACTATAGATTAGAGATGAATTTTTAAAATCAGTTCAGAATTAGCGAAAATAGGTAACGTGCATTAAAAAGCATTTATATTAATAACCTTTCCTTTTTAAAGTTTTTTTAATTTGGATTGGTAGGTATGTTGATAGTTAAATATATTTATTAAATATACTAATAATCATTACATTATAAATGTAAAAGTGTGTTTGTTTGTCATAAAATTTGGTATATACGTACTGTTGGAGAAGGTCATAGGCTATTGTTTATTCTGATTAATCGACATATCTCGATCACGTGAACAAAGTTGCGGGGAAAAGCTAGTCCAGTATAACTAACATTTGAGTATATGAAGGTAGTTATTTCTGTTTGACCTTCTACTGGGCCACCCGTCTGTAATCAGCTTAGCTACGAAACCTAGGTTGCGTGCACGATGCCTATTTACATAACTAGAAGTTTTTTAATCAGTCTAATCTTGTATACCTACTGTAGATTGAGCTGAATGAAAGTCGACCGGTTCATTTGTAAATGTGATTTAATAATTCTTAATTCTAAATGTGAAAAGATAAAATAATTTATTTCAATACCAAATTAAAACACGAGAAGATTGTATCGTTTATGTTATAATTAATATGTAACTAAAGCCGAATTCGCGATGTTTCTGTATAGGCATTAATATTTAATCCTCGTTATTGTTTTCTCTTTTGTACTGTATTATCGAATTTATTGTTGAAATACTATTTGATCGTGCAAACGTTGTTCTTTCTTCTACCGCTATTGGGATGAAAAGAATTGTTAGTAATGAGACTCTTCAGTCACTTGTTAGCAATATACCCTACCGGAGGAAAAGGGATTGTTAGCAATGGAGTATGACAGCCCCATTGCTAGCAATATGCCTTATTAGATCGACCTTCACGTGGTTCCTCTTGAAAACCATCGTGAACAATTCTTGTTGAATTCGTCACGATTGGTTAACTGACCTGCTTCATCCTCACCTATCATCCCCATCATCACTGGTGCCCCGTCGGTGTCGGTTGTCGGTTCTTGGTGGGGTTACCATTCCATTATCTCTCATTAAAAAAATATACCCTACCAGGTCGACTTTCACGCGGTTCCTTCTGTAAGCCATCAACGTTAATTCTTATTGAATTCATCACTGTAAGTCATTTAAGGCATTCATCTTCATCTATCATCTCTTATTGGGCTCCAAAAGCCTATCTCGATAGCGTAGGCGGGGATATTATTCTATTTTCATCTATAGGATAATACCCTACCGCTAGAGGAGAAGCGATTGATAATAATAGGGATTAGTAATTCTTTTGTATAGCAATATACTCTATCAGGTCGATCTCCATGCGGTTCCCCCTGGAAAACGTTGTGGTTAATTATTGTTTAATTCGTTACAATATAGGCCAATTGGCGCCGAGGTGTCCCGATAGCGTATACCGATAGCACAGGCGGGGTTACCATTAACAATACTATGGCAATATTGGCCATTCTCAAGAATGGTGATGCATTTGTGGCACTATGGGCGTCACAGTGTATTCTATGATGTACGCGATGCTGCTCATATCTATAGACGGCGGTTACTACTTTTCATTAGACGAGGCTTTGCTGAGATGCATAAAAAAACCCTATCGCTACCAAGTATTTTTTTTTCTTATCGGGATAATAACCATGTTATCCCTCAGGTTGAAGCAAAAGCATTATATCCAACACAATGTTTATAAATTGTACGTTGTATTAGAATAAATAATTCCTTACTATTTAAACATTTAAAAACATGGCATAGAGCTAGTAGCTCTTTGAGATGGATAAAATCATAGAATTTTTAATTAGTCAATTAGGTAATGTATTCCCGGTCACATGGATGAAACACGGGTAAAAATATTATTATTTTAATATATTTTTGTAAATGTATTTTTATAATAATATAAATATATTATAAATGTTTTTATCTGTTAATAATAGTATTTCACCATATTCGAAACGTCATACTTTTTTTAAAAGCCAGCTTATAAATAATTGCCACTTCAGTGACAGGCGTATGTGAGTTGTAGCCCTCTATAATGCTTTATATGTATATTATAACAATTTATTTATATTTTTAGAATGATCTAGAAAAGTATGGAAATGAAATATTCATGCCTTTAAGTGTTCTGGGTAATGCTCGTTGGATCCTTGCTTTTATCTAAATAATTAGTATCAAGTTGTGTCTTTAGTTGATTATTATAAATTGATGGTTCCAGTTTCAATGCAGTTTCCATTAGTTTTGCACTTTGAAAATGATAATAATTGTCAGGTTTTGTGCTCACGAAACGTTGAGTAAACAGAACATTAGTTGATTTTTATTTTTTGCATTATTATTGTTGTACAGTGTATAAATGACGAAAATAATAATTAATTAGTTATTATTTATACTTCAACATTGTGAATAATAGTAATTAACGGCTCCATTAAATTACATTTTTAAATTTCAATTAAAATAATATAATATTATTCCAAAGGATACGAGATATTGATTTATATGAAGAAAAAGCAAAAAATTACTCGCCAACAACTTGTAACTATTCACTTTCGGTTCTTTAAAGTTTTTATGAATCAAGTTTTGAAAACTTCGGCAATTGACTCGTGATATTCGAATTTCCACAAACTAGACACCCGGCCCATTGGGTAATGGGGTGTAATGGAAATACACCAGGTGCACGTTTATGAAACTTTTACGGTGACAAAGGCCAACTCAGATATACTATGACGTTATTAATTATATACCTACTATATAGGTGAGAAAAGGTAGAATGAATAAAATTATTGCCCTATTAATTTTTAAATAATTTCAAAATAAAGCTCACATACTTTTGTTTTTTTTTTGTATATATGTTATGTTTGTATCATTTATGCTGAATGATTATATTTTAATTAATTATTTATTTTCTGGGTGGTGATAGGTATTTTTTAAGATCGAGCATTGGTGTAGGTAATTGTTTGATAGGTACTTAGCGAAATTTAAAATTTATAATTACTAAAATAAAAAACAAATAAACATATCATATCCATGGTACTGCTCATGTTTATAGGCGACGGTTACCACTTTCCATCAGGTGGACCGTCAGCTTGTTTGCCATTCTAAGTTGTATAAAAAAAAAACGACAGTTACTTCTTAATTATTGAAAATATAATTTATAACTTACCCGATGAGCACCATGGTGGAATATTTTCGTTTTGTGATATATCATTGCTACTGAAACTCTGAGAAGCTTTTCTGTGTGCACTTCTTGTAATCATTACCATTTAGGTCTAATTTTCTTACACACTGAACTCATCAAATAAACAGTGACAATTGGATTTTTATACAAATTTAAATTTATATCGAAGCCGACTAGATAGCTAGAAGCAATAAAAAATGGTTTCCTACCACAGACTAGATACTTAACTTTCCCGCTCTTTGGCGGGAAACTTTCTATTCCATGTCTAGTCTACGTCCGATAATACTTTTTTTTAAATAAATACTTACAGGAATTAGTCAGAAGTCTATACAGCTATATATTATAAAAATTACAATATTATGTAGAAAATTTATTTTAAAAATAACGACGTAGAACTAATAAATTTGAATAAGAGTTATTATACATTGACATGGCACTTCAGCTTAAAAACTAATTAACTTCCCACTATTAGGTATGGGTATTATACTGTCTCAATCTATTAAAGGAGGATGTTATATTATTACTACCATGTTGGTCAGGTAGTTTGCTATTTCGTATATTGCTTAGTTTGTACTTAGTTCTTTTCTTTCATTTAGTACCTATGTTATACTCAGGCTATGGTTCTTTTAGTCACTTCTTTGATATTCTATGGATGAGTAAAAGCGGTGACATGTCATTCAAAAAATATTTGGCTTGCTTTAAATGGGAAATGTAAATGTTTAGAATTAGGCATTTTCGGCATACGCTGGTGGGATTATAGGTAAGGATGAAACCAGGTCAGTTGGCCCATCGTGACCAATGCACGACCAGGAATTAATCACGATGTTTACATGGTGGAGTTCGACCTGGCAGTATACATTGTTAGCGATGAGGGGGAAGGGAATTGTTGGTGATGGGGTCTAACTGCCTCGTTGTTAGTAATACACCCTATCGGGTCGACCTCCACGTTTTTCCCCCTGGAAACCATCGTGGTTAAATCTAGTAGATTTTGTCATGCTGGGCTTACTGCCCTGCTTTCATCGTCACCTATCATTTCTCACTGATGCCTCGTCAGCGTATACCGATAGCGTAGGCGGGATGACCATTTCATTATCACCCCAAAAAAAATTGCTAGCAAAGGGGACTAAACTCCCCATTACAACAAATTCCTTTCCTCCCAATGTAACGATGGGACTCGGACACCGTTAGTTGACATTACACAGAGTTAATCATTTGTCTTCGCGTTTTATATCTTGAAATCAAAATTTTACGGGCGAAGTTATAAATGAAATAAGATATCTGAAGCGGAACAGTATAGTCATGATCGGGGTTTTAGTAGTTGTTTTATTTGTTTTACTTTCCTGTGCTCATGGACAAGGAATGAGCACAGAATCGCCTTCACACAAGCCGCCTATCCCGTTCATGGATTTATTTACGGGTGCTTCAAATTACTATACAGACCCAATACGGAAAATATATTCTGATCAGGATTCATATTCTGTATCATGCCCGAAGTCTGATACGCTTTCGAGTTTCGCGAACGTGCTAAGTAGTGCTGCTAAAATCATGATATCAGCTGCAATTATTGTTTTTTTTAAATTTATGGTTGGGAAATTGATGCTATTCCCACTTATCTTTGTTCTTTTAGGAAAAATAAGTTTAAAAATATTTTTGTTATGGCCAATGTTATCTAAGATTATGAAGTATTTTAAAAAGAAAAAGAAAAAAGGACATAAAGGAAGGATGATAACAGATTGTTCACAAAGGGTCGTTTGTGTTATTCAAAGATCCTCAAAGGATTGGGGCAGTAACTTGGGAGCTGCTACTACGTTTCTTTTAATCGATGATATAGACAAAGACAGTTCCTATGCTAAAGCCATGTTGCATATCTTAGCAGGTGATAATGTTGCAGAATGCATGTCGATGGATTGTTATTCTGGTACTGATATAAGTTAATATACACATCTACATGTGTATATGTTACACCTGCCTTCCAATAGGATAGAAAAATATAAAGAAACGCAAAATGCTCCGATTCAAATAAACTTCTTTAGTTTCCTCCACGTTCATAAATTTGTTTATACAAGTTTCTGGAAGTTGAAAATGTGTACTTATTTGTAACAGAAACTTTATTTTTAACTGAATAAGTGCTCATTATAAATGTTCGCTTATGTAGAACATTTACTTATTCCAATTTACTCAGAATTTGCTTACACGTGAGGAAAGTTATGATGAAATATTGTTAATATTTAAAAATGCTAACTTGCATTGTTGTAATTCGATAAATGTAGTACACATATCGAATCTTGTCAGTCGTAATTAGTAGTCATGGGGTCGATGCACATTTTAATAACGCCCGTAATTTTATTATCAATTCAACGTGCTAATAATATTTTGGTACGATGCGATTCATTTGTATTAGACCCAACATACATCGCCGCTCCAGCAAATTTTGTCAATAGACCGCCTAGACAATTTCTGGATAATACTCAGTTTCCTGTTGTAAACAGGAATTCTATGGGAGTACCTCGCCAGGCTGTTCTTCATACAAATACGGCAGGAGCTCAACCCAAGCCAACTTCAAGAGAAAGAAATTCCACACCTAATAACTTGACATTCTCGGATTTGATAAACGCCTTCAACGAATTAGCTGAAAACGAAGAAACAGAACATGCTCGTGCTTTTTCAAGAGATTATGAGTATACACCTTATGCCTATCGGCCGCAACCATATGTCTATCCACCACGACCAAACTATGGACAATCGGTTCCACCAGCCTATACATCACAGCACGAAGCATCTTACCCCCTACCGTCACCACCACCAGCAGCGCCGTTGTCACATCATTCATTATCGAAGATTTCGCTGTTAAAACCTGGTTTAGATTTGGTGAAGCCAGTGACAGGGAAAGTGGCAAGTAAAGTAAGCGGATTGGTTGGATTAATTTTAGGTTTACTGACAGGATCCTCTGCGGACGATACAGAACTGAAAGGTTTCAAGGATATAGTGATAAATGGTATCGTTAAACCATTACTACTGGCGAAAGGAGGAATTAAGATGTTGATCAGTAAGTTAACCATACCATTAATAGCGTTGTTGTTAATAAATTTGGAAGTTCTGGTAACCGTTTGGTGGTTATGGGAAGACTGTCCAGCGCCTGTGCCTGTACCACCCCCATATCCCTATCCAAAACCCGCGTATAAGTATAATCAATATTACTAGGTTTAAATCATAAAAAAAAATTATAGATTGTCTCCCTAAAATGATTTCTATTAAATTAAGCGTTTTTGGCAGCTTTTAATTTGTAATATTCTTGTAATTGGTGATTTTTATCATATCACAGCTGTCATTTTTATATTTATGTTATAATATACTTTCAGATTTTCTTTCAGTATAAAAAACAATGGCTTAGCCAACAGTTTGGTTGACCTCTTTTTGACATTTATCGCTCCATCTAGAAATATATGATCTATAAATATATTTAAGTTGAAACAAATGTGACCCAGTTTATTAATAGTAATTGTAAGTGTAATTTTCTTATGTATTGTAAGACTGAATATCTGTATATTGTTTTGTACATTTTCAATTGCTATTAAAATTAATAAAATATAACTGCATTTTTATTTACTACACATTAATGCCCTTTATAACATATCACTATAATTGTTATCTGCTGAAAGTGATGCTTTTATATTTGTTTAATTCATATACACTATTTGAATAAATAAAATCACACATCATTACATTACATTACACAGCGTCTGGTTTTAAAATATTAAATGAATATAAGTACTTTAAGTAAGTAGTAAGGTTACTTATTTATTAGATAACTGGATTATATTTTAAATGCATTTTAAACTGACTTTAAAAAAAGAAAAAAGAAAGAATTCAGTTGTATTTTTTTTCTATCTGTTAGCACATAATTCTGTTAGTTTTTAACCGATTTGGAATATTCTTTTTTTGTCTGAAAGGATAGAGTTACAGATTGGTTCCATCCATAGAAATTTTTTAAAATCGATTTAGTAGTTTAATTTTTAGATCAACTGGTTTTCTCACCATTGAAATATTTTTTTTTGAAGAATATAACCTTTTCTTGTAAATACAAATATAACATCATAAACAGTAAATATCAAGATTAATACAATCGTACATACTGTAATGTTTATATTGAGCAAGTATTAAAACAGACAGCTGCAACAAAGCAAGGCAGCATATTAAACTAATTTATTATCAAAATCGTCAATAAATATTCAGTAAATAAATAGTTCATTTTTAATAATTTCATATGTGAAAGTAAATTTATTTTTTTCTTATCTACGCCTTGATACTATAAGAGTTCAGTCAAGGCTCATATAGTTACCGATAATATGTATGAAGTCGCGGAGTAGAAATTCATTAGGAGGTTGTTACAATTGTTGAAAATAGTAGTGTTTATATAGCTAAGTATAGTTTATGATGATGACGATACTGTATGATGGTGATGAAAAATACTTAGCTATTTTATAATAACTAGTTGTTTTCCGTGATTGATCGGATAAATCAGTATTTTTTTATACCACTTAGAATGGCAAACAAGCTGACGGTCCACCTCATGGTAAGTGGTAACCGTCGCCTATAAACATGAGCAGTACCATGGACATAACAGAGTATACTGTTTCGCCCATGATACCCTCCATACGTTGCCATTCCTGAGGACTCAGGTGTTATTCCTCTGTACCCTGTAAATTCACGCTATATCCCACCCTTCAAACCGAAATACAGCCATGCAAACACAACTGCTTTACGGTAGAAACACGAATGGGACGGTGGTACCCAAGCAATCGATTTTTGTCTAAAGTATTCTGTGTTAAACTAGAATATAATGTACTTCTGTGCAAAATTTGATTCAAATCTGCTTAAGCATGATTAAGTAATAAATTTCTTAACATTTAAATATCTTTATAAACTTTATATTTATAATATTACTAATATTACTCTCTATATTATGAGTATTTTCTCTCATTTTGTATACTTTAATGTCTGTCGTCACTTGTAATATCTAATTTCAACACCAAACAAGTAGTTCTTGAACTAATCGTATATTTACTTATTGTCATTAATACATATTTTTAAAGGATTTTTATATAACTTTTATTCTCTCTTTTTTTTTTACTTATGGACATACGTATTTTCTTTTTTAGTTTTAGAGACGTTCTTAGCGATTAGAGTAAAATAAAAATAAAACAGGACTAGAGCGTTAAGTAATTAGTCACTTACAATAACATCGAATTTAACTCGAAGCCCGTCCATATAGTTCTTCTTATTTATTTTATTTATTTATTCTTTATTGACCACATTATAAAACATGTGTGGTACAAACGATGGTGAAAAAAATTTAAAATTGTTGCAAATAAATATTTTCACGTACATATCGATATACTTACAAATCACAACACTCCTCTTCATTGTATAATGGAGAACTACTGTTAAGTATGGTTATATAAATATACATACATGAATACATTAAACAAATATTACATAAATATACAAATATATAAAATAAAAACATACATACAAATATAAATATACAAATATATTTATTGTCAAGTTATTAATATTATTAAATATCTAAGTTATTTTCAACCGACTTCAACCGACAAAAAGAAGAAGATTCTTAATTCGATTGTATTTTTTCATTGTTTCTTACCTCATAACTCGGTCATTGAAATCGATTCAGTAGCTTAGTTTTTAAATCAAAACAATTGGTTTTGCCACAATTAGTTGGTTTTTTGTGGAACACAATTTTAAATTATATTCAATAATCTAGGGCAATTTCGTGAGTGAAAAACTATAATTATTGAAGCCAAACGTTTACATAAGCGACCAATTAACCTTTAACAGTCTTGATAAAGGACGCGTGTAATGTAAGGCAATTTACCGTATCTCGCAACAGTCTATTGAGACGTAAGTCTGCGTTACTGGCCAAGTCCTTTGATTTTCATTTACGTGTCGTTACACTATGTTACTTATTTCGAAATGTATATATTTATTTTTTTATGACAATATGATCTCGTAGAATATACTATGACACCTATGTGTCTATGTCAGCCATTACTGAATAGTAGTGGGGTTGTGTATTCGTAGTTCATAGCATTCCTAATATTATAACAAAGGGCGACACTCTTATACGTTTAGTAGTGGAAGTAATCACAAGAAAAATTGGGTTTTTTGGAGTAAAAATTTTCTGGACCATTTTCGTAGTAATAATAAAGTTGTGATCGTTTACTATATATGTTATGCGCTAGTATAGTATTATATTATCTGAGACTTATGTTAATTTCTATTATAGGTTATAAAATCATATATATGCACTTACTTCCTTTGGAGTTAGGCTTTTTTTTTTAATATTGCAAATGGAGTATAGAGTTGTAAAGTCGTCAGGGCAAACAAAATATACGGCATTTAGAAAGGAAATTATAGAAATATCGCAATAGGAAAATTAGAATTTCTAGCACGTATACACAAATATATACACGTAGATGTGTCACGGTAGAATTCACACGTTAGGATGATGTCTCGAATAACTCTTAGGGTTCGCTGAGATGGACAACCTTTTATTTGCATTATTTGTATTTTAGTTCAATAGGAACTGTCTAGAAATGAAATTTACTATATAATATAATGTATAATGCTTGTATATAAATTGAAATTTTCCATTTCAATTTATATACAAGCCCAGTCTATTAGGGGGTGGGTTGATAAATCAATATAATAAATAATTAACCTCGTTGTGGATATAATAAAATGTTCATTCTGATAAATAGAAATTGCAATATTCGTGTAAAGGTAAGTGTTCGTCAATTATGTTTTCCTTGAAATATATCTCGGACATTTCATAAAAAAGATCCATAGCCGTCACCACTACATGAATGGATAACGTTTGTGTATGTGTCAATGTGTGTGTAGTGGTGTTCCATTTGCGAGCGATCATATTTGAATCATGAAGAGGGGGGTAAGTTTAAGAGCTACTCTTAGGGTAGTAAGTGAAGTACTGTTACACAGTACTCCACTGTGCACAGATATTAAATTTATGATGCAACAACGTAAATTCGGTAATGATCACACAAATTGGAACTAATAAGTCGACCTTATGTTATGTTTGTTTTTTTTATTAGAGGAAGTCATTTCCCTAAAGTTTGGGACCATATAGATATATTTTTTTCTATAAGTCGTAAATTTGATTCCACATGGAGGATTGCTGTCACTTGTGGGCGGGAGCATCTTGATACGGGCTCAAATCCTTTGCCTCAGTGCAGTTCATAGGCTACGGTAACCGCTTACCATTAGGTGAGCCATATGCTTGTTTGCCACTTCAATGGTATAAAAATTTTGGTAACCGAGTATGTAAGTGTAGGATCTGTTTTGCTCTAATTTGTTTTTATTTTCATATAATTTATGCAGTGTTGTCGAAGCGTAATTATAGTATTCATAAAACTTAATATTAGTATTTTAAATTTTTAATACTAAATCAATCATATGATCACGGAGTTAGTACAAAAACATTTAAAATAAATATTGTCTTACTTCGAACTACGTTCCTTGAAAGTTATTAAATCTCACAAATGCTGTCAATTCAATTTAAATTATAGTCGTGCGTGTATATATAAATCATGTGATATTTTCAAATTCCAGATGTGTCTGTAATATCGACCTAAACCTTTGTTGTAAAGGAGACTTTCGACGAAATCAGTTAATTGGGTATCTAATTGTTTGGTAGGTACTCGGTCGTCTGGTATTCTTTGGAAGTTTCATTTATTTTGTAATTGGTCCCGCTGCTGCTTTGTTTAAATGATATTATATCGGAAGAATCTTCTCAAGCGTTTTTACAAATTTATTCTTGTAGAATATATTATGCAATTGTATTGTATGTAATGTATGTATAAAACAAAAATATTTGTAGTTTTTTTCTGAATGGGCACACTGTCTGATTGGTTAAATAAATGCGAAAAAAAAAACTACATAAATATTACCTATTTTTTTAAATTCGAAAGTCGAAGTGTAAATAGGGTAGATTGCATTTTGTATAACAATTAGAATGTCAAAAAACCATTAGTCTTCCTGATATTAAGTATAATTAATGTAAATCTAGCAAGACGTCGCTATAGTTTTTTTATAGTGCTGTTAAGATCTCTATTCTATACATGAAAATAAAAGATTTTTATAATATATCCGAATTGGGTTAGCCTAAAGATCTAATTAAAGATATGTAACCTTAAAGGACAATACGTTGATTTTTTTAAAGAAAATAATAAAGGTTTACTATTTTATTTAAAATTGAGAATAAAAAAACTATGTATTAATATTAGATCAAGTATGGCAAGGATGCATTGCGAGAAAAACAAAATATTAGAAATAAAGATTTGAATGAAGAAAAAAATATTTACTTTCGATGTATATCAATACATTTCTTTTTAATTCAAGCAAATTTTTTTGCTGTAGTAATTGCATCTCGTTTTAAGAAACCTTTTTACCGTGTACATGAATAGTAATATGAAAAACACTGAATATACTGTAATAACCACGGTAAAGTGTTGCCATTAAAAAACTGGAGACTTATAATAATCGTCATTATGGATTTCCTGCTGTATAGTCTCACTTATTTGACTACTCAATTGAAATATTTTTATAATGAATTACAACAATAGTGGAATAAAAAAATATCAATAATATTTGTATTCAAAATATATGAAAATATATTCACATGGAAAGTATTTGAAAGCATAAAATGCCTTTTTCTCAGTAATATTATTATACCTACAAACAAGTAATATTTTGATACATCTTAGGTTTTTTAAACATAAAACTTAACCTCAAATAAAAGCATCTAGATCATTTTAGTACCTAATATTTTGCCACGTCGGAGCTAATCATGATCCAGTGAACTACATAAATAGCCAGGCTGGGCACTCAACCGGTATAGTTAAGGTACGTAGCGAAAGCATGAACCAATCATAATTATTAACGCACGAATTATGTCCAACGGTTGTCAACCACTGCTTGTGGGAACGTCAATGATCGAGAGCTCTGTAATATTTGAGGGCAAATAATTATTTTATGTCCGTGTAGTTATTAATATTGTACGGAAATTAATTCGATTTATACACATAATAAAACCGCAACGAGAGTGGTTTCGTCAATAGAATATATTTTTAAAATTGTTATGATGTGGATTGTTAATTTTTTTTAAAACAACAATTTGAATTTTTGTTTCTCTCATTGTGTATGCAGTACGTTAAAATTACTAGATGGAAATTTGTGAAGTTATAATCCAGTGATGCGTTTCTGTAGTATACTTAATTAATAATCGAAATTCAAGCGGATAGTTTTTTTTTTATTTAATTAGTTTTTTTTTTATTTACCTGCCATTAGTACCATACTACGTATATATCGTCATAGTTATAGAATACTGACTGATTGTTTTTTTTAATGTACGAGTATATTGAAAGTGGCTTTGTATCACTAAAAATTTTAAATGTAATAGTAAAATATTGTTTCAAAAATAAAATGAAAAAGCAAATAACGTTATATCAAATCTATGGCTACAAAAGTATATTATTTCTTACGTCGTACTTACATCAGGTTAAAATGCTCCTAAAGAAGCTACTTCCGCTATTGACACCCTATTAAAAATGTATTACGTTATATATAAAGTTACCTTGGTTTATCTTACCTTTTTTCTCTTTTGCTTTGAAGTTCAAAGAAATTGTAAGTGTGTATTTTATTACTAATATCGGAGTAAACTCTTTGAGTGAATAGATTCATCAAAGTGCTATCAACAGATAGATAATACTATTGGGAACATAATACATTTAAATAAATACATACATAACATACATATCTGTCACGTCTGACTCCTATTAGGGTAGACAGAAACAATCGAATGCCAAATGCTTCGATTAAAACAAGCCTCTTAAAATAAATACAGAGAATATAATAAGTTATAGAGTAAGATTCCGCTGTTGATTTCTTCAGTTATAAAAAGATTTTTGAATGGACCATTTATTATACAATTGTTTATATTTCTTTTTTCTGAACTAAACGTTAAGAAAAAACAAATAAAGTTAGTTTTACAAAGACGAAAAAAAAAAGATATACGCCTAAGTGCTTTTTTACAACTTGGAATGGCAAGCAAGCTGAAAACATAGGTGCGTAGATAGGTACAGGATGCCTAATTTTTTTTTATTATTTTCTTTTATTAAAGACTTTTTGGGAAAAATTGAGTTTTATTGGCAGAACATCTAAATACTTAGCGTCAATTTTAGGGATAAATGGATGCTAATGATTTCGATTTTAGTCTTTATAGAAAACCCAGATCCATATTTTGTACCAGAAAGTTCCTCTCAAATATTTCTCTTTTCAGACATATGTCAATGCAGCGATGCGTGTTATCCTTATCGTATGTTGAATAATACATAACGAGTTTGCATGACAAGTGGAGATGTCGTCTAACGGCCGAAAGCGTTCTCAGTAATGATATACCTGTGAACTTACTTGACACATCAAAATACTAAATAGATCATAATATATGGGGATGATGGATTCGTTTACGCACGCGGGATACCATTGAATGATGATAGGCGTGAATAAAGTCAGAATACATTAAGAATTGGATATAACAGATATATTCGTCATAGAAGAGGCTACCCCTTTTTCGTAGGTGTCGTAAGAGGCGACTAAGGAAAGGTGAGGGATGGGCAGCAGCGTCCCTCTTAAAACATTTCCAAAGCCTAACTGTGGTTGTCAATCCCTCTACCAAGCTTGGCAACTACTGGCAAAATCCCACAAGGCAGAGGCTTATGTTCAGCAGTGGATAGTTAAAGGCTGATACGGTATCACCGTATGCTGATACCAAGAATTAAGCACAAGTTTATATTTTCCAGAGGAAATAATGTGAACTTAAACCTGATAGGGTATGTTTTTAGCAATATGACCTTTCCTTATGATCATAATTATTACCTATCTTTTTTTATGTAACTTAGAATGGCAAATAAGCTGACGGCCCACTTGATGGAATGTTGTAACTGTCGCCTATAGACATGTGCAGTACTATAGACGTGACAAACTATATTGTTTCGACATGATACCTCCCATGCGTTGCCATTACTGAGGACTCAGGTGTTATTCCTCTGTACCCTGTAAATTCACTGCCATATCCCACCCTTCAAACCGAAACACAGCCATGCAAACACAATTATGTGACATGTGCTTTTCCCTATGAACATAATTATTAAGTAGCTGAGACTCGTAGGTTTGTATGCTTAAATTATGATAAAATATGTCAGTGTGTCAATTCTATGTACCTATATCATGTGCCCTATTCGCGTATCAAAATTTCATTAAAATTCATCTAGTTAGCGAAATAAATTGAATGCTGGTGATAAATCATGAAAGAAATGGGTGTACAGATGACTTATACCCAAATTTTAACAGTAACACCTTTATGCCTATTTAATGAATTCCAGATGGTGACTGTACAAAAGTTACCCGCGCGTAGGTATCTCTATGCCATTCATGTTTCTGCCTCGAAGCAAATGTGTGTGCATGGCTGTGTTTCGATTCCACATATCCATGAAATAACAGGGAGGCATAACACCTTATTTCATAGGAACAAAAACGATATATCCATACTGATCATGTCTACAGGCAACATGTCTACGACAATTACCACTTTCTATCATATGGACTGTCATTTTATTTGGCTTTTCGTGTGTCTATAGTATAGATTAATAGATACTAATATAATTAACTATTATAATATATATAGTTTTTGAAATATAAGTACTTATAATTAAAAGTAAATAGAATTTATACACTCCAAGTTACTAGCTACTTTCTCTATGTACGGTGAGCCATTTACTTCAATATTTTAGATGGCACCGACCCTGCAAATTACAATTGATAATGTTAAAGGGTCGGGTAAAAGCTTCGAGGACTTATACAGTGTTACAGCGTTAACCGTTTTTAAAGACCATGTAATTGAGATCCATAATCTGGCTTTTCTCATTTTCCGGTCGACTAAAAAAGTAAAATGGGTATAGTTTGTTGAAATTAAGGTCTCGTGTGTCCGGAATTGAAAATAAAAGTAGGTTTGTGACGAAGGTTTCGCAATCGAGTGTTTTTATCGGTCCAGCGTGAAGACAGGCGAGGAGCGACGGCGCGGCAGCTGTGCGCGCGGCGGCTCGGCGTCGATACGCGCACCGGCCTGACGTCGCCGCGGGCCGGCGCACTCCGCACCACTTCTGCCCGACGACGGAGCGCCGTCGCGACGCACGTCATCCGCGATACCGTCGCACATCCACCACTCTAGGCAACTCCGCGATGCTATTTTGTATATAGTTACTGTTGTATAAGTAGTTAGTGATAAAGACAAGTCGAAACGAAACAGTGAAACCAAATTTATATCGGATACGCGTCTGGTGAAAACAAACACATCGCAGTTTCATATTCGCGCAGGCGCGTCTCACGCGGACATGACGAGAGCGGCCATCTTGGTCGAGGACGCACTTTCGCCTCGCCCCAGCTTCTGAGCCTGAATAGAAACCTAGATTGATCATCGCGGACCGACCATGCGTCACGGGCAAAGCCTCGCGGCGGGCGACGTCTGAGCCCGCAACGCGTCGCTATCGATCCGGTAGCGTTATGGCGTTCGCGAAGTGAATGCGGACATCGGGACCGTGCCGCAGCCCCCGCAAAAAAGCGGAGCGCCTGGTCAGTGATAGTGCTATAGTGGTTGCACGGTATGTGAGACAGAGTACCGTCGTGGTTGGGAGGGCGCGCGGGCGGCGGCGGGCTCGGCTGACCGCGCGCCATGGGCGAGGAGTACGCGCGCTCTCCTTGCGAGCGCTTTCCGGCGGCGGGCGCGTTCAGCGTGGCCCCGCCGGAGCGGCTCAGCCCGCCGCCGCCCGCGCCGCTGCCGGATCGTTTTTCGGCGTCGCCGCGGCGGGTACGCCGGTGTGCAGAGGCGGAGCGCGCGCGGCGGCCGCGCTATGTGCCACCAGCGGCACATGTACCAGTAGAGCGGTACGTGCCCAGGCCGCCGGCGCCGCTACGGCCGCCGCCGCCGGTGTACTGCGGGTTGGCGTGCCGGCCGCCAGCACCGCGAAAGTGTTGTGGACCCGCATGTCGCGAGGATATCGCAGGCTCACCGCCCCCGACGCGATACGTGGAGTATGTCGGGGCTGCGGCCGCCCGACGGCTTGCCTGCACGCCGCCGCCACCGCCTCCGCCCGCTCTTCAGCTGCCTTGCGAGCCTCAGGAACCACCATGCTGCGTACAGGCTCGCAGGCGTCCGCAACCTCCGCATGATTGGTAAGTGCATACAAAGTTTAATGTTTAGCTGAGACACGAGGTATACCAGCCTCAACGATTAAACATTTTGTGATTATTATTTACATCAATAATTTACATCGTTATATGTTAAAGACATTCATACGAATGTCTATTGATTATAAAATTACATTTAGTTCATCCAATATAAATTTTTGTTTGTTAATGTACCTTATCGACGTGACGTAGTTACTTCAACCTTCAAGTCACCTTATTACCTGTCTCCAAATTTTGTTTCCCTAAACTACCCTTAAATATAATATTGATTACAAAAATACAATAGAAGTATTGTAGAGATTTGCAAATCACATAATATGAAGTATCGATTGGGATCAGTCCAATCTGTTTATGTAGATAGATATATAACAGAGATACCTAGGCACGCGTAACAGCGCTTCAAAGGGTTTTTAACGACTCGTGATGACGCCAGTGGCTGGGATGGTGTAATTGGTTATATTTTTTCGGTGAAATTGATATCGTGTGATTGATGACGCTGGTTAACGATCCTCGTTTTACCAAACGTCATCCAGATTAAACACTATTAGGATAAGAAATATCTGTTATGAAATATCGTCATAAGAATTTTCAATTTATTTTTTATTAAATGACAATATTAGGTATTGTATTTTGAGACATGACGAGAAATATAGCACATAGGTAAATAGGGACTTGTTTGTAAATACTGCTACTAACTGCCTACTCCGGCTTGGGTCAGGTGTAGATATTAATGAAGAAAATGTGACCCAAAAATAACAGAAGATACTAAATAATTGAACCCCAGTTGGAGAATTCTCCTAATAATTTTGAAGATACTGCCTTCGGTCTCATCCTCTGATTTGTCTGTTATATGGAGATTTTTGTAATAAATTTTTTGCTTAATCGTGTAATATCGCTTTTTTATACGATTTTTAAAGCATTTTAAAACATAATAAAAAAAAAACAACAAAAATATATTAGCCAAATAGGTAAAGCCGTTTTGATACGTTTATACACAATATATATGGTAATTATATATAATATGTTTGCATATATTTGGCAATTGATTTTTATTTATAATAAAGAGAAAAATCCTGACTGATTAACTTATTAATGTACAACCTTAATTACTAAAGTTAGAATTACCACATTCTGATGGTAGGTTCTTTTAATGACCTATATAAGTAATAAGAAATTATTTTTCGGAATTTAGCCTCTCGGGATGCAAATATAAGGGTTCAAGTTTAAATGTTTTTTTAACCGATAGATACTTGAAATTTACCATAAATAGTCTTTAAAATAATGACATTTAATTACAGTATTTTTCTAAATTTAACTCCTAAGTGTTTTAAAAAAGGAACCAAGTTAAAGCTGTTAAAGCTAGATACCAAATTTAGATATTAGATTCCATTTATGACCAACACAGGCAATAAGAAAGGATTTTTCGAAATTCATTCGAAAAATTTCACTCTTAGGAACCGAATTTTAAGATTTTCATAATTTATGGAAATTTGTATGAGAAAGTATTTGCATAAGAAAGATATTTATATATTTTTTTAACTGGCTTACTTGATACTAATTGTTCTTATATAAGGATAATGAAATCAGGGCAAAATACTTATTAGCTAAATTTCTTAACGAAAGCAAAGATTTGATCGAAGTCTCCAGTGTAAATTAAAGATAAAAATTAATATGGAAAATATTTTTTAAAGTTGATTATATAAAATCAATTAAATCGGTCTAAAGATAAATATAATTGTGTAGGCACTTACCATACTATTTTTTATCCTTATAATAAAAATGAAAATAGGTGGACTTTATTCTAACTTAATACATACTAAATATTAATTAATGCGGGAAAAGCTGCGGGATAAAGCTAGTATTTATATAATAAGCTGTAATTGCATCATTCATTAGGAATAAGTATCAGTATGATATTAAAGGGTTATGTATAGTGGTAATACACCCTTTAAATTGAATGTTGTAAAACATGAATATTAAATATTAGTCTTCTTTGTTAATAGTAAAAACAATATTCTCACGACTATAATTCCTAAATGTACTTGTCGTTTTTTATCCTTATGTGAATTCGATATATAAATATTCATAAATAATCTAAACCTTTATATACATATAATTTTTTTCCTTACTTTATTTTATCTGCTGTTCTAATTTATCATCATTAGAAGTAATAGTTCTATATATATACACATATGTATTTGTGTAGGTAAATGTATATATCTACATGTATGTACCTTTATATTTATGTATTTTTATGTATGTAATTAATATGTAGTAACAGTATTTGTTTGCTCTTAGTAATATCTATTAAATATAATTTTATAGAGCAAATTCGATTTCACAAGCTAAATGGAGTGTGAGAGTGTCTGGGGCCGTTTTCAAACTGCATTGTTTAGTTTATAGTTTCTAGTATATTTTCAATGATAAATTTCAAAAGGTAGGTAAAAATAGAATGATATACTTATCAGGCTTGTAGTCTTTTATTGTTGTTTATTTTTTCCAATGTATTTTATTTTATTCATTCTATCTTTTTGTTTTTGGAATAAAATAGAGTAGTACATATTCTATTTAAAAAAAGTCATTAAATATGATACAATCTGTATTGAGTGTGCATCTATTTTGCTTATAAATGTTATAATTATAAGCTTGTTTACTTTAGGCACAATATGAAATAGCACTGATACATTCGTCATATCAGCTGTTAACTGTCCACTGCTGAACGTAGATCTGCCTCATAAGATACGCAGAACATAAGCCTCCCCTTTAAGGGGAGCCAGTAGCCAGTAGTTGCCACGCTTGGTAGATGGATTGGCAATCGCAGTTTGCCTTTAGTGTTTATTGTAAGAGGGACGCTGTTGCTCATCTCTCGACCATTAAGTTACATTAATTTAGGTAAAGAAAAAAATGGAATAGAGACCTCGCATGGTTTATGCTAGTAAGGTATTAGAGAAGAGTGGTAGATGCAGATGAAGGCAGGTCACTTGCTCTATCAAGATGAATTCACCAGAAACATTACTTCTTAATAATGTTTTCAGGGCTGAGGGAGATTGACCCAATAAAATATATTACTAGCAATTGGACTGTTTCGCTTGTTACCAAATTCCACCCTCCAAGGATATATTTAGATTTAGGGATAGAATGCCACACCCAGACATTCAAGTGAAGTTGACCTTTTTAGCTGATTGCATATCAATTTGTGGATTATTTTCTATTTTACTATAGTATTATTGACATTATTAATAGAAACGAAATAATTTATTATAACACACAATAGAAAATTATGACAGTGTTTACGTTAAAAAAATATTAAGCATGTGTAATACTAATTAGAACGAAATAAGTAGAAACATCAATATTAAAAATGTAACAATCAATATAGGTAAACAATAGAAATAGAATAGAATATGAGTAAAACTATAACAACATCAGTTTATCTCAAATAGGTTAGCATTGCACTAATTTAGTGTAGTTTGAATCGTTTTAAATCGACATAAAATTTTAAATAAATGGAAAACATAAACTTTCATGTGTAAATAAATTTAACAGTTTAGCTTGCTTGGTTCATGATGATTCATGATTAATTACATGCTTAATTTACTAAGACGTGACCTATCTGTGTATAAAAAAAACCGTCCAAACAATATTTTAATTTTTTTTACATTTATAATAGGCATCTACATAGAATTTAAAAGTCTAGGAATAGTATAATAGAAATTAATATTCATTCCATCTAATCCCATCCCAAAAATGAAAATACTTTTTTAAATATCAACATGTTACTTTTATATTAGGTATTATTTATTATTTCATAAAACTTTAATAATAAAACCATTAAATTAAGACGTTGTTATGTATTTTCCAGCTAATTTATTCAATGTATTAAAATTACTATTTTGGGACTTGGGTGAGTGACCGCAATTTTGTATTAACTTTTAAAGAAAATGATTATATTGTTGGGTATTAAATTGAGTTATTTTCAAAGGAATTTATGTAAATAATGAAGTAAAATGTAGCTCTTTGTTGTTAAAATTTGCGTACATGATTATTTAAATGTTATTTAGGTTTATAATGTTAGTTGTAAATCGAAAACAGTAATACTGTGTCATTGTTCATGCGTTGCTTCTTTTCATAAGGGTATGGTGTTATGTATATTAATGTCCCATAACTAACAAGAGTGTTACGACATTCTGCGGGGGGATGTAAGGAGTAGTGATAAATAGAATTTTTATTTTGTCGTTTCACAATCCCTTTTGCCAATTTTCATCATTCATAATATAAATACAGAATGGTCGAAAACAGAGCATTTTTTCGAAATATTATCTTGACAAATATCCTCTCATTATTGTTTATAAATATTAATTTGTTGAAGTTTGCTCATTATGTTTTTCCATAATATCTTGACGTTTCAAACCTACGCATTTCATTTACCTGGACTTGAAATAAACTGAAAATATTTTTATTTAAGATTATGCTTCGTAGAGACAATAGACGGGAATACACAGACATTTTTATGTTGATTATTTAGTTTTATTTACTTTGACGTAAGCATTTTAAATTAATATAATTAAAGTTATACTGTCTAAAAACAGCAAAAAACGCGATTTAATGTTGGCAAATTTAATATGATTATGATCAGATGTAAACGTTTACAATTATTAATTTTTTAAACATTTAAATAAAAAATAAGAATACAGGTGAATTCTAAAAACATTTCTTCCTTGTCTAAATTCAACATAATCTCTTTTTATTATTGCTTAGTTAGAACAATAAAATTCAGATAAAGTTTTTACAAATGTTTCCCAATAAAACAGACTAATATTTTTTGTTTATTTTATTTTTTAGTATATTTTATTATATCACCTTGTCACTTTATTTATATAATAGTTTATATTTCTAGACTTTCATAAGAGGTTACTCTTAATAAAAGATTCAACATTTGGTATGAAAAAATGACCCAGCAGCTAACAATCTGTTAATAATTTTTT